TCTATCTATCTATCTATCTATCTTTTTAAATATCAGACTACTGACAGCGCGAAGTGCCACGTCTCACAGTCATTCTATAAATGTAATTATATATTGAAGATGGTTGCCATTTAGAGTTTTGCTGTAACCTGCGTCTCTCAAAGCGCAGTAATTGCATTCTCAGTGTCAGTGAAACTGTACAACTATATGGAGTCCACATTTGGAATTCAAATAAGGGCAAGACAAGTATAAATTTTCCCTATTTAAAATTGAAGCCATTCCTAAAGCAAATCTGCATCTCTTTTGTGAGCAACTCTTGCTGACTTCTCCATGTGTTGTGTGCAGAAAACCTTTTTTATGGTTCTTGCATTTCTTAAGCTCGGGCTTTTGTTCATATGTCATCAATTTTAGGCCTATGTGTATGACATTCGCTGCAGCAGCTACCTCCATAAACTTCAGAGACAGTCGGACACCGTCCTCAGCGTCGCTTTCAACCCTTCCACACCAGAGGTAAATCACTTTTTTTTTTTAAGAAATCTTCCAGATTTCTCCAAATATCCATACGTTTCTGACCATGATATGTTTTTTTTCTTTTTTAATTCTGGAATTGTATCTATTTCATGGTCATAAATGGTCAGTCCTCACATAAAGAGTGTTTGTTTCTACTAAAGTTACCCTTTTTTTCATAACGTCTGTACTTGTACATGTACACAAGGTGTGTATTATAATTTTATATATGTATTGTAAGTATGATTCTGGTATATGTGCATAAAGCACATCTACCTGAGTCTTCAAATATGTGTTAAATTGATTTTGGCAGTTTTGAAGTTTTATTCAAAATCCTAAAAAAGAAAAAAGACATTTAAATTCAAACTTTTATTATTATTTATCTAAAACATCATTGGCAGTTAGATGGATTGAATAATGCTTTAAAGAGAGAGCAATTTAAACATATCTTTCAGTATTCAGTATTTAGTTGTAAACAGATCTGTAACACATCTTCTGGCTCAGCATTCCCAAGTATATGAGCAGAAGGAATGATATCCTGAGGCTGAGGTCACATAGCAGAGCTTAGAGAGACCAATCCCTGGAGTTCACGGTGGTTGGAATTTTATGTCAGAAATACCGCAGAATTTCTGCCAGTAGCCATGAAATATTTCAGTGAACAACTTATTATGATAGAGCATAATACTTATGGACTTATGTACAGCATACAGTAGGATTGATATTTTCTTTTGACTCATTTGCATTAGATTATGTTGTATGGCTTGCTTTAACTCAACTTTACTCATTTTTGGTACAAGTTACCCTTGTCCACCTGATTTACCAGAACACGGGAATGCCAGTGATATTGCATTCATTTATCACAGATGGGATACCAAAACACCGGATTGTTTCTAAAATTACTTTTATGTTTTGGGAACTCCAAACCGAATTTAAATGCCGAGTTATTGGGAAACATTGTAGGTTATAGGCAGAAAATCTCTCCATTACAAAGGTAATCTAGGGTACGACAAGAAAAGAAAAATGATTAATTTGAAAATCATTAGAAAACTAATAGATTGTCCGTTAAAAGGCTTTTATATCCCGACTAAAGCTATTTACTGATTTGACTGAGGATAAACTGTAATTGGTAACTGGGCATAAATCACTACCAAATGAGTCAGCATCTGTCTGCCATTCTGACAAGCTCACTCCGTCAAAAGATTTGGTCAAATTATAGCTTTTTTTTTTACAACGAGGTTCTGTTGAAGTCAAATACGTATTTTGAAAAAAAGGCCTTGTTTTAGCCAGTTAACGGTAGCAGCCACACAGCGAACATTCAACATTGCCAGATGCTCCGTTAGCAGGGCTGGCTGTCCTTGCTCGGATCTTTAGCTAGCTTTCAAAGGGGTATTGTCTGCTATTTGGTACAAAACTGGGCCAAAGGCAGATAAGTCCTCGTGTTTGCCATTTAATTTTTGTCAGATTGGTCTGTGGTTTCAAGTGAAGTGCATCGGGTGTTGATCCACCAGTAAGACCCGTTTTTTAAAACTACCACACTGGAAAAAAAAATCCAAATGTCAAATGAAACCTTGAGGGAATATGTATCACAATTTATTCTTAACTCTTCAAATCACTGGGACTTGTTTCAGAAACATGTTAGAATACACAGTAATATCACAACTTGTGAAGAGTGTCACTTGAGATTTGTTGACCCTATATTTGACATAATGCACATGTTTTAGCCCTGCATTACTATCTGTGTAACTCCATTCAGCTAAACTTTGCAGCACAATGATACACTTATATTTTCAAGCCTGAATATGGAAACTTTGGTCCACAGCCATTCTGGCTGCAGTGATCTGCAAATTTTGCAGACACACTTCATCTGTCAGAGTGTGCTCGTTCCATATCACTTGTTCTGCACATTCTTTTTTATTCAAACTTATTTTTTCCAAACACAGGTTAAGAGATTGAAATATTCCTTCAATTTTATCAAACCAGAAATTTCTACATCATAGGATACAAATGTGAGCATGTGCTATCATAGCGTCTTGACAGGTTATTTCCACATCGATATTTGAGGATATTTAAAAAAAGAATTTGTGGAAAACCATTTATTTGATTTTATTCTTCTCTTTCTAGGTGAGAGCAGTGTGCATCAAACACTACCAGCATAGCATTTCTAATGGCATCATTCAAGATCCATGTCTCCGATGTCTTCATATTATAAAAATCCACAAGGAGAAATTTAGTACTGGTGTCTAACAAGGGATCATACAAATTTAGAATTCTCTGATAGCCAAAATATGCTAGTATTATAGATTAAGCTCATACTTTTTCCCCCTTTTGTAGGAGTACATCTACTTTTTGAGGCTACAACACATATACCTGATTTGGTTTATCAAATATCTTCCATGCATACATATTGATAGCTACTTTTAATATTAGGCTCTTTCAAAATCCTGCTAAGCTGTATTTCCTAAGCTTTTCCCTCTAAAATGTTTGCGGAAATGTCCACAACCCGTGGTCACCTTGCTGATTAGCCACATTTGAGTGCCAGATGTTCTCCACATTTACTGCTGTGAAAGCTGTCTGATGTAAGACACACAGATAATGTCATGCATATTTTCCACCCATTTTTCATTGCATGTTTTCCATCCTAATACTTAAAAGACCATCAAGCTGGCAGATCTACCTCAGGTTTATTCCTGTACTTCAGTCTATAATGGGAGGTCCCTGCTTTTATTGTCACCTCACTCTGGTGTCTTGTAAAATCTTGTGGGATTTCACATGGCATGCATCTGTAAGGTTTTGCAAGCTTCGCTGTGTGTGTCCCACAGTTAAATGTGAAACTGTAAAAGTTTGAATTTCAAATGTTAACAAAAGCATTTTGATATTTGTCGGAAAATTGGTATTGTCTGTACTAGTAAGATGTTCAATGTTGAAGTATATTCTCTTTATCAGTTGTTTAGACTTCATGGCATTTGAAGGAAACCAAATATGACACTTAAGCCCTGAAAAGACTTAAACAGTGTTGGACACTTTTTGACATGTTGGTTTGGTTGAAAGTATACTAATTTAAAATATGTTTCCTGGAATGTGTGTCAGCAACATCCCCTCTGAGCTGCCTATAAACCAGACTTTTTAATGACAGTGCTGATATATCGGGTTATTTGTTTGCTTGTTTGTTTAAACAGGAAATTTAATTAAAGCTAGATTAATATATCTTTCAACATCAGGGTCCGAAAGACAAATGTTCTGTGGGAGATTGTGTTCTGTCATGGTCGTTTGGCTTTGTGACATTTTTTTCAGTTGTGCATATTCAACATTATGGATCTAATTTTCTTTTCATGTGTTGGAGTTAGTACAGAACTTTTGACTACTTCCTGCAATAACCATCTGTCTGTAAAGGTTCACACACACTGTTGTCCAAACTTAGATGAACAATGCTCTGTGCTACTTTCCATATGTCAACATGTACTGTACATGTCATCTTTGCAGACAAAAATGAGGGCTCTACTCAGCTTTTTCCTTTGTAATCTCATCCATGGACATTTTGCATTTGAAAAAGTAATGCATATTTCTTAACAGGGATTGAACACAATATATAAGAAGGCCCTTAAATTACTCCCATGCAGCACAATAGTGTATACACACACACATTATTTATTTATATCTTAACATCCACATAAACAAAGTAACATATACTAATGTACAATATTACTATGACAATGATAATCACCATTATATTTTCTAACTCAGTGTTTTCTATGCATACGCATGAAAGACAAGAAATGATAGGATTCTTAGGTCTGAACATTGAAGTCCACTGGAAATCGCCTGCCACTTATGTAATATTCTGTCTTGGAGTCTTTTGGCCGGACTCTAGGGAGTAAAACATCCAGGACTGGCCTGAGAGCAAATACAGAGGAGAACTCTGCTGTCTGCTCCAGAATGTCACATTAGAGTGAGACACAGACTGAGCTGAGACAGCCTCTTTGAAATCAAATGGCCTGTGTTCAGTGCAGCTGGATCTGCCATGAACAGGAAGTTGCAAATCTGCAAAGTAAGTATTTTTAAGTATTGAAACCATTCACATGTACTAAGCAGAATTTGTAAGCTTTGCCCACAGAATAGTTTAAATGTGAGGAACTCTTTTATCATGAGCAAATTTTGTACATTTGGACTTCAACATCACCTTTATTTGCATGCTGTATTGAAAATACAGCATGCAAGATCAACCATTAAACCACTGATGTTTCAAAGCTTCAAAGACAAGAAATAAGTCACCACTATTTTATCTCCATTACTCACTGTAGATTTCTTCCATTACTCCCATGTCAGCGTAAGCAGTGCCCCTCTTCCTATATAACAAAAACATCTTTCTTTACCTCCCAGCATGCTCAGGGCAAATCATTTACATGCATCAGCAATATGTCGTTTTTGTTCTGCAGCTGGTAAATAGTGTTATTTGGGACACATTACAGCTGCAGCTTCTGTCCTAATGGACACTTTTTGCCGATGCCAGTGTTTGAAACTCATGCATCCAGCCCTAATCCACACTGCATTTTTAATTGTCATTTTTATCCTTTCTTTGAACTCCTGATTTGTGGGCCTTGTTTCTGCCTTTTCAGCCATTCATAGCACTCCTAATTTTACTTAGAAATCCTGTTTAGGATTTTCAAAGCATGTCAAAGGTTCTGACATGCAAAAAAAATCTGGAGATTATTCAAAGAAATTGTTAGGCAGTGTTGTGGAACAGTTTAGTTAATTCTCCATAAAAATGCCAGATGTTGTACAATAAATCAGAATTGTGAGAGATGTTTATCTTGGAAACGTTGTGTCAAGGGAAACTAAATTAATTATTTTCAGTGGCCCTTCTGACCTCTGACCTCTGATCCTAAGATGAGGGTCTGTAATGAGGGCAGACAACTGATGCAAGGGGAAAAAAGAATAAAAGTAAATGATTGATGTTGTTATTGCGTTTTTGCAAAAGCGTATTTTATTTTCACCTCTGGACAGCATGTTTACATGATATTTATAACTAGGCGATAATGGTTTTGGATAGCAGTTTATGACTGGGGCTCTGATTGCCAGTGGAGACATATTTCAAGCTTTATTTTAGTTCAAATAGCTGATATTACCTCCAGGGAGTGAAGCCCAGTTGGTTTTATAATTGTCAAATAAGGTAAACAAACTCGAGGTGAAAAAGAGTCCTTCATGGTGGAAAAGGTGGTGATATGAGCTGTTTGAGCATTTGTAACCTTTAAACATGACTGCATAGAAATATTTGCATGTGCTAACATAGGAGATGTGTTTAGCCTGCACACACACCTGGGAATTCTGTGTATATATAGAAACATTTACAGCCAACATTTACCCTTTCAAAGGCAAATTAAATCTACTGCAGTTTATTATGTTTGAGTCATCCTCAGTCCCAAGCTATTTTGTCTCCTTTTCCCAGCAAAGTCATCTGTGTGCTGGTAAAAGATTATTTCGCCGGCATAAAAAGGATTTAGTACATGGAAAAAAATGTTGGACTATTGTCTGAGTGAATGTGGTTTTTATCAGCACTTGGCAAATTGTTGTTCTCCAACAAGCTTGATGCTGGGTAAACTGAAAAAGTTCCTGTGATTATACAAGCACCAAAATCTGTGAAATATCCAGAAGGATCTCCATCCAGGGACTTTTACCGAAGCATTTAGGATGAAAAAACTGTTGTCTGCTACACGGCATCATCATAGATATATCAAATAAGCTATACTTGAAGTGTAAATTTGGTCAAGTAAACTTGAATGGTGTGAAGCTGAGTACTCAGCTTGACAATTAAATGAAACTGTGGCCATTTCTGAGCTATCTTACAGAATATATGTAAGCTTCATTCTGAACCCAAATGAAAGTCTAGTTTGTTCTGATCAACGATGGAATGAATTAACATGGTGTGTGGTGTGTATTGTGTTGTTGATCTTTGTGGTTGTGAGGGTTCTTTATTCATTTCTAAACAAGAAATTCACCCTGACCAGCACTGGCAGCAGATCAAGTCAACTTATATAAAAGGGTGTAGGCCAGACAGCCTCAGGTTTCTGGTAATATGATGTATGGAAAAAAAATTAAAGTCAAATAGGAAAAATGACAGTATAGATCCTGACCTCAGTGGTGCTCCTTTACTTTCAGGAAGCAGGTGTTCAGTTATGCAACCCAGTGCTACAAAAAAGTGGGTCATAAAAAGGAGGCTAATGTGTGACATGTTTGCTGAGAAAGTTCAGTCACAGGAGTAAAAGCGGAGCGTGATGTCATTTTTTCTCTCCTTCTCCTAGCTGTTAACTGGGACACTGGATGGGAAGCTGAGTCTGTTTCAGCCCAGCGGCAGATCTCATTTGTCTCGTGACAACAGGGCTGCTGTGATAACGTCCCTGACATGAGTGCGTAATCACAGCTGGCTCCTGCGACGACCATGCAAGTTTGATTATGGCAGCTGGAACCTACAGGCGTGTGAGTTTGTGATCTCCTCACACAAGAAAAGTGGACAGTTTTCATTTCTGCTACTAGTTTTGAATAAAGAGTTTAAAAACAGGTATGATTGTAAAACGTATGTATTCTCACTGTGTGTACCTCTTCTCTTTGGACAAATGTTGGGAATGCCACTGAAACACCAGTGTTTTGATTGGATGTTTTTTATTCATCTCACCGTGTTAGCTTGATGCAATACTCAATTTTAGATAATTGTAGCTAAATTTGCCAAAAACAATGGCAGTAACTGCTATCAACATCTGTTAAGCATTTTGGATGAGAAAGCATCACATTAATTATTGTTAAGAAAATGAAACAGATGTATACTATATCACTAGTTGCAACCACTACTTAGAGAATCAGCACATAGAGCCATGACATCAACTGGGTGCAACCACTGTGGCTGCCAGATACACACATGCTCCTACTGTTCAAGTAGACACACCCATGTACATTTTCTCTTTGTTTCTGTCCATTTGCTCTCTTCAGCTTCAGTCACACCTTAATTTCTCCAAATTTGGTGAAGTATGAAAAATGTGTGTCCATATATGGTGCCAATCAAAAGTTTGAGGAGATGGATCCAAACTTTTAAACAGTTGTTTTTTTTTTTTTTTATCCCTTTAAAAAATTACCTCCTGCTCTGCTACGAATGAAAAAGAAGATAATTGGCTATCACAAACATGTTTTGGGGGATGAGAAACGTTTCCCAGCAAAAACAACTAAAAGTTCAAACTGAAAGTGCACTGTTTTTTTTTTTCTTTTCATAATCCACAAGTACGACTTTAAACATGTCCCAATTTATGTGATGGGGAACAAGTTCAAGAGGAGTTTTTGTTTTAAGGAACGACCCTTCGTCATAGTCATATCTGCTTGGAGACTTTGCAGCATATTTGGAGAAAAGTCAGTTGATGACCTAAAACAGACATTGACTGTGAGGTCTCCTGAAAGGAACATTTCAGTTTATCTATTGTGAACACACTTGTTGTAATTATCTGTAGAGGAGTTCTTTGTTCCTGATACTCTGATCCCTGATTTGTTCTGATAACAGGCTCCTCTTTTATGTGATGCCTGCCACATGCCTCATTTGGTAATAATATTACCAAAAACACAGTATTTGTTCTATTGGTGGTATCATGAAAATTGATTGGCTTTTTTTTCATGTAGAAAAACTACCACCAGTATTGCCTTCACACTTGTAACAAATGCAAATGAATGATGATTTGTCATCCTTTCCTAGCTTTGCACCCAAATAACCTCTTCATGGGAACTTTAAACGTACTTTCTGGCTCTCACAATATCTTGAAGTTAAGCCTGAAACTATTTTTCTCGTCAGCGCTCCTGTAGAAATCAAGTCGCACCTCTTTCTGTCTTTTTGTACTTCTTGAAAATTCTTGCTGTCTCCCACTGTGCTGCTTTTATCACTTTTGGTATGTTATAAACACTCACTCAAATCCTCTGAGGGGCTGGAGGAGAGCTTCCTTTTCTGGATAGGAATTCAATTTCCAGCTTCACTCATTCCCCATCTAATATCAAAAGATTTTGTATTTGATACATTATGTGATGCTGATGGAATTGTAGATCTGCTGATTTGATGTCTGCTGACGTCTCCCTCAGACTGAGGTGAATTTTTCAAGGATGTCTCATCTATCCCCTGTCAACTTTCTAATATTCTGGATATGATTTACTCTGTTTTAGTGGACTACCTACTCCCATTGATACCAAGGCAGACAGCTTTTGAACATCACTCTCGATGTACCACCAGCTGCTGGTTATGAAACATGCATGCCTTATGAGGATTCTTATCTCAGTAGCTGATACTATAGATTAATAAAGGTTGAATTGAGGCTGATTAGGATTTATGAAGTGCTATTGTTTTTCATGCATAACATCTTTAGTGTATGTTTCCATGAGCATGCTTTTGTGCCACGGGAATAGGTATGTACTGGCAAAGTTAAGTTAAGTCTGTTCTGTCATGGTGAGCTTTAGTGTTTCTGCAGACAGCATTACTAGACCAAAACATAATAAATTGTCTTTCGAGTAAATTTACGAGGGCTTGTTCTTTTTCTATTTGTGTGCTGGAATGTGTGTGTGTGTGTATGTGTGTTCAGGACTAAGTGTCTTCTTTTAAGTGAATTAACTTGCGGCACCAAAACTGAGTGAGTCTGATTGTTTGAAACCAAAGTGATATACTGTTGTATGCACATATTCCTCGTTGGAGTGAGGTCATTTTGTGAACACTCCCTGTATTGATCTCACTGGTAAAGAATCACATTACACTTAAAAATTGCCACACCCAAACATAACAACGTTCTCTGGTCCAAATTTGATCTCTCACCAAACTTTGTCATTCAGTTTGACAGGGGAACTTAGCCTGCCTCCGGATCTGCAAAGAGCGAGAACGCTGGACGCATGCCATCTCTTAGAAGAGCAGAGATTGACAGTGGAGGAAGACAAAGTTCAGAACACTCAATCAAGATGCATATTTTTCATCTCACCATCATCCAAAACTCAAGCACAAAACACTTTGCTCTAGTCTCGTTGTTTGAGGAGGGGGTTGGTAGTCCACTCCTTTGTTTCTGTCTTGGCCTTCATTTCCAGCTATGATAGAAGACATACATCATGAGGCACGTGCAGTTTAATGATCCCCCACAGACCTCTGGTGATCTCTGTCCTTTTGTTTTCATGAACTCAAAGTTAGAAGACAGGAAAACTAGTGCATTCATACATTCTGTGCAATGTTCTTCAAGTCTTCTAAATGAAATAAGCTGCCAATCTTATTATTTTTTGTAGATTATATTTTATGTCTATTGGTTGAAAGCTTTCAAAATCTATCAATTGAACTACTTATTCCAGTATATAGGGCCCCTTGACATTGACTCAATCTTGTAGAATATGGGGCATTAGAAAAAAGAAATTTCTTCCCTATATTATCCCAGAAGTGGGTTTAAGCTGAAAATTAAGCAGAAAATGAAGTGCTAAAATATTCCACAGATGGTCACTCAGTAAGAGTTTACTGCTTTATCCTGTTCAGGAGGAGCTGAAGGCTATCCCAACAGGTCTTGACAGGTCACTCGTCCATCATAGAGACAAATGAGACCACCATGCAAACTCACTCCTACAGCTGAGTCATCCCAAAAAGTGAAGAAAAGGCCTCAGACTCAAGTCATCAAACGTGCTGCTGTGAACTGAAGGGTCTAACCACCACATCACTCTGAAGCCCATCCTCCCCGGTGAAATAGATCAATTTCAAGAAGACAATAGCATCTTTACAATGAAAAGAATGCATTTGGTCCCTGCAGTGTGATATCTCATTTAGATAACTAAATAGGGGAATAGATGTGAATATTAACCTTTTTAATTGTGATAAAGTGTTAAAGTGAAATGGCCCATATTTACTTCCTCATTTTTTAAAGGTTTCCTGTGAAAACACGTGGTTGGAGGATTGCTCCACTCATGGATGGATGGATGGATGGATGGATGGATGGATGGATGGATGGATGGATGGATGGATGGCATTATAAAGCATTCTCTGAGGTGCAGATTGAGTTATCAGAAAAATAAGAATAATCCCCAGAACAGTGGAAAGAATCACACGTTTTCTGTATCGCTAAAGGATGAATAGACAAATTAGAGCATATCAAAACTCTTCAATGTAACAAGTGAAAGATACAGCTATCGGTCTAATTGGGTTCAAACTTCCAACTCAGTATACTGTGGAAACAATATTGTTTTTTTTGTATATATGTGTGTTATGATTAGACTATCTATCATCTTGTAAAGCAAAAAAGTCAAACACTTTGTATCAACCCAATCTCACAACGTGTGTAACCAGCTAATTTAACCTCATCATGCTGAGAGCTGCATAATCTACAGGTTTATACTGTACAGACAAAATATGTTGTCAATAAAGCACACAGGTGTGTGTTATCAGGTTTTATGATATAAGCCAAATTCAAAGGATAATGATGGAGAAATTTCAACGTCTTTTATTGTTTTGTTTTTTTCTGTGCCCCAAATGTGGTGCACATGTTTGTTGTTTGTTTAACAGACACAATTATGAATGGTATATAATTATGTTGCACCATTACATGCAATTCATCTCAAATGTCCAAAGAGTTCTCTGAAAGTACTACATAAAGAGTGACTGTGTAAGTAGACAAGTTTAAACTCCAAACACAGCCATGGTCTGATCCATTGCATACGTTTTGTACAGTAGTTTTAACTGGAATGTAGCTGCCTTCACTTAAACTGTGCTTACAATGTCACTAATTAAAATACTGCTCCCTTAATCCATCACTTTATAGAAGATATATGATTCTTTGATAGGTTCTTTTTAACCAAAAGTTCTTGAAGTACAGTGCGTCCCCAGTGTTCAGTAACTCTGTGTGACAAGAGGTTTGGAGGTAACTGTGATGTATGTGACTGATAAGCCGCGGAGTTATAAATATTGGAGAAATATCCAGATGGATCCACACAGGTACTCAGAGAAGGAAATCTGGGTATTCATACTTGACTCAGTCTCGAGCAGTTTGCAGTGCTGTGTGCAGACGACGACAGAAATACCGATTAGCAGCACATGGTGTCATCCAGGGAACAAGGCATAAACATTCGGGTGTTAACACACCGATAAATCAACACAAAATCCATGTGGAGTTTGTGGAAAAAATGGGTAAAACAGAAGCAGTCGCTCCCAGAGTGCAGAATTAAAGCTAAGTATTCTAAAATCCCCAATTAAAAGTAAAGGAACATCTAATTGTGTAGTGCATCACGAAATTTCTGTTGCAGACAAGTTTATACAGCAGTTTGTTTGAACTTTTAAAGAAGATTTACAGAGATCGTCCTTCCCCCAGGCTCTTCATGACGTAAATAGATTTCATCAGCTCCATTAAGGCAAGGTGCAGGGGTAGATAAGGCGATAGTTTGGCATGTGCGTCTAAACTATCAAGTGTCTACATATTTCTCTGGGGCATTCACTCACTCCCACCAAACTAAACTCAAACCTCTCATTGACCAAAGATAGAGTTTCAGCATCAACATTAACCATTAGCAAATTCCTTTGTTTTATGACAGAATTTGTTTCCTGAAAGAGCCAATTTTATGTTTTCCTCTTTAATCCTGTTTAACCAAGCTGGGGAATTAACAGCACATGTTGCTGAGCACCATTTCATAGTGTGGACTTGATCGGTATTGTGTGTGTCCATATGTAACCCGCTGAAGCCTCTGCCATCGATTATTGATAAAACTGTTAAAACGTTAGTGTTGGTTCTTAATCTTTTGCCTTTGCAGTAAACTGAACAAGCACCCAAGCTCTGAAGAGAAGGATGTGATCAAAGTTGAGTGTGCAGGCAGAGATTGAAATCACATCAAAGTGAGCAACATAAAAACTCACATATATCAACTGTCAACCTTTGCTTGAATTTAGTTTTCAGGTTGTGTGGTTGCCAACTAACCATGGATATCACCTGCCTGGCTAACTTGGATTTGAGAAATGTCCCTAGATGTGCCAGAACTCCATTTCATACGGTGCCAGGTTTCCATATTCTCTTATGAACTCCAGTTCAGCAGAAAGGAAAATGTCTCAAAATCTAATTTAACTCGACACCAAAGGCACAGATTTTTGCAAGAAACCATGGTTGTATCACACTAATTTACCCTGAATGCTTAAAACGTTCAGTGTACAGACAGGAGGAAGATGCCAGAGAGAAAACCTGGAGTCAATAATGAGCAGGAAATCCTCCTTTGGAACATAGCATTCCTGCTAACGGCACCTATCCTCAGTGTTTTTTCTATGGAGCTTCTATGTCAGCGAACGGTACATTTTCTTCTTTTTCATTTTGACAGCATGCACACGCAAATATTTAGGCTTACGATGATTAAAATTCTGATCTGATTTTGTTGGTATGAAGTGTGATTCTTCTTGTGAATGACATCTGTGAAAAGATAAGATGATCCTAGAGGATTTACAAGTACTTCATGCATTCCCACTGTTTTTCTGCTCTTCTTTAAGCTATTTTTTAACTTTGTCAGGGATCCCATGCCTTTGCCTTTTCCAGCTCTGTATCTGGTGCTTGAGATAATGTACTAGTAGTTCAACTACACAGTCAAAATGACCAAAAAAAGTAATTCAGACACATAAATATGTCAACAACAGTTTATGTAAGTTCTGTCAAACAAGTCCAGTGAAAGTTTCATTAGGTTTGCCTTTCTCTTGTGGTGATGCTCCCACTTTTTCTTTTTGCATGTAATACTCCAGGGCTGATAATTGTATGGCCAGTGGATAAAAATAAGTGCAGGCACATCTTTCTGTCATCACCACCAACTAATTTTCATTTTAGCTGAAACAAAACTGGTATGAATGATTTGTAAAGTTTTGTCTTCGTCTTTCCTTTTATTTTTGCAACTAAAAAAATTACCTGTGGAATAGCTTGATTCTTATATGGTTGTGTGCTGTATTGTTTCATTAGAATGGTGTTTCTAATTATCTTGAATTGGAGCATTTGACCCATGTGGCTATTCGAGGTGAAAATTTTTGCAATTCTTAGTCAATCTCAGCTTTTTGGTATTTTACTCTACAGTGTAACTACAAGGTTTTATTAATCAATGAATACAATGCTCAAAAAGAGTGTAAAATATCATTAAATCCCCCAAATGTGGAGGCACTATTACTGAAGCGAAACACATTAGGTCAAATTAGTCTTAGAGTAAACGTAGATTTATTTTTCCACCACTTGCACAAAGATGTCTGCATTGGAACAGATGTGCTGAAACATAATCATCAACTTTAAACACGACCCTGTTAGGTGCACTTCACTGAGCAACGGCAATGCAGAGGATGAATTTCTCTGAGCAGTGCAGCTTCAGCTATGCTGCAGCACCCTCTGTGCCCAGGGACCCAAGGCCAGAGCTCCTCCTCCTCCTCCTCAGCCGCTCTGCACTGAAGAGATCTCACTCTCACTTTGTTCACTCTCTCACACAACACTGTTTGTGCTTCTTTGCCGTTCATACACCCCGGTCCTCTCATGGGCTCGTCATTGTTGTTTGCTACGATTTCTCTGCCATACGTGCACACATTTTCTTTCAAATGGACCCAGCTTTCATCAGGTTTTGAAGCTAAAATAAATCAGTATTGGCCCACTACAAATTTAAGCACAATAAGGGGGAAAATGGCAATCTGGAAGTAATTACTAAATGATTGCATCTGAAAAATGAAAATGAAACTTTGAGAAAACGGTCGGAAGCAATTGTTCTTTTTTAATCACACATCTATTAACCTAAATGTAGGTAAGTATAATTTGGTTCATTTGGGGAAACAAGACAATTACTCGCCTACTTTTATTTTACACAGTGTTCTCATATTTATTTGAAGTTAATAATTCAACCCAAACCTTTAACTTCAGACCTGCAATTTGGGGATTTTTGCTTATGTCCAGGTCCAGCAGTTCAAATACACATCTGGGAGTAAGTCTTTGCCCATTGAATGACATTAAGCCAGATCACATCACTGTGACGTACCATGCTGCATGAAGCTGGCAGGGTTTGACCCTCTCAGAACATAAGCAAGTAGAAGGATCATACAGGAGCCCTCACAGACTCCCATCCTCCAACTGTATTACCTATCAGAAACACAGGAAGTAAACCAGGTTTCTTCTCATCTTTCCATTTGTTATTTTACTAAAAAGCACAAAGGTCTGGTAGATCTAACTTTTTTAGATGAATCAGTGTATTGTGTTCTCTCTGTGACAGTAAATATGAAAACCAAGAATAATGTCATTGAGAAAATATTCTGTTGTGTTAAACTTGCAAACTAAATATCAACATATCCCACTCAAACAGGTCACCCACAAACTTTTGGGAAGAGAATAAGTCAAACATTGAATATCTCCCTTTGATAAAATGTCTGGTCTAAGCCAAAGTATGTGAGCCATTTCTATACTGGAGCTGGAATTAGATGCTTGAAAGCAAACATATGGTACTTTGTAAACTTTCTTTTTATTTTGCAGACTCTGCTGATACTGGTCCTCCTGCTGTCCACTATTATATCACTGATGGTGGTAAAGGTCATCTTCATGTTATGTTGAAAGTTCAGTTTGACCAACAGATTCTGTTAGCCTCTCAGAGCCAAATTAGACTTTCCTAAAAGGCAGAAAAGTCACACCAGAGGCTTTGCAGTGTTGCGATGAGGTGATTAATGTTGTGCACAGATCAGCTTGAAAGTTTTCCACAGCTTTCTTGCTCCCCTGCTGACTGCTCAATTGCCTTACAAAGCCAATAAGAATAATTTAAGGAGCTTAGTTTCATGAAATGAACACCCCGTTGAGCAGCTAGGGTGTTGTAAAGCAGGACCTGTGTCAGTCTATCTTATTCTGAGATGACCCTCTCTGTGTGCTGTCTTAGAAATAAGAATGCAACTTCCTGTTATTTAGACAGCACCGATATTGAAGGAAGTTGAGGAATATAAGCTGTTTCTTTTTTTATCACTGAAGAGCTTTTTATGTGTGAGTGCAAGAGCTGTTCTAGTTCTTCAAAGCTTTCTTTTGCCCAAAGTCCTGGTTGGTGGCTGCTGTGATGTGGCTCCATACATCAGCTATAAACCAGAGGCTTTGTCGTCCGGTCAGGCTGGAATATACATTTGGTGTAACGTTTGGGAGCAGAAAAGAAACTAAATGACATGCGTGTTTAAGAACATATCTGTACAAGAAAATCATCTTATTCTTTCACTCATTAAGACACTGAAAATTTGAGGTGGTCATAGATGATGCAAAGACTAGAGTCTTTGCTAAAACTGATTTCCCACTCTCCCAGTGCAAACATGTTATGTTTACAAATTGACAAACAACGCTGAATGGGACTGATTGAAAGACATCTGTCTAAAATCTAATTCTGTAGTATTTATACCTAAATGCTGCCAGTTGTGCTTGGCAAAGCCTCATTTTTAAATGCTAAAGTGATGCCTTTGTACAGTGCATCTACGTGCTTATGATTAAATGTTTGGGACTCAGCTCAGATAACAGAAGCTTGAATTGAGAACAATTAATATTAAACTCTCTTTTGTTTTCCATGTAGATCAAATCAACTTGGCCAAAGAAAAGTCATGTCCTGGTAAAGATTCAATCTGTGTATCGTATGAAAGAAACACATATGACTGTCTCTTTATTTCTAGAGGAGACTTATGTTTTTGTATTTCCCACATATTTGAAGACATACGAGTAACTGATTAGGTTGGCTTTGCAAGTGACCTGGCTTTTATCAATGTACAGTAGTCAGTGTACCCTTTGTTGCATTCTACCCTGGAGGTACATTTATAAAGATGTTATTCTTAAATGTCTCTTTCACAGTCGCATCATCCATTCAATATTCATTCTTTAGTTTGAATCTATCTCCTGCCTGAAGGGCCCCAGATGCAGTTTTCATCCTGATGGGATTGTATTACCTTGACTTTTCCCAAACAATTAACTCTTTCCTAATCCCACCCAAAATTCTATAACATTATTATTGTTATTAATATTGTTGATATGTAAATATTTTATGAGATTCAGAACCTTAAAAGCTTTGGAGCAGCAACCATTTGATGCCATAGCCAAAAGCGAACTAAAAGGATTTTCATATGTTTACAGAGAGTATGATGACTGTAACATTGCCAGATAACAGTCATTGTTCTAAAAAGATCTTTCCTCTCAAAGCATTTAATTTCCATCGCACCTAAATCCATTGTGTGGTTGTTAGAAGTGTATGTTACATGTGTCACTCTCCAATTCTCAGTTCTTTAAACATTCTAAATGCCAGATTTGCTTTTTGGATTATGGTCCTGAGTCATACTGAACTGTGTGCATGTGTGCGTGTGTGTGTCTGTGTTAGAGAGATTGAGTGTGTTAAAAACACATAAACCTCCACAGTGAAGTCACGGCTTGGAGAGGCGAGCTGGAAACTATAGTTGTTTATCAACCTAGCTGACATCAATCACCTTTGTTTCGCTACTCTTCCAGATCTCTGGTGTTTGCAGAAATAATAGAGAAGTCCACATATGTTTGAGCCCCTGTTGTGTGGCAGGTAGGCTCTGAATTGCCATTGGAGCAAATGACCCTGAAAAAATCATTGTGGAAAATAGGTCAAATCTGAAATCTGAATTAGGAAGACATGAGAGCAGAGTGTTCTTCATTCAAGGTTTGGTGGCAAAGTTTGGTGTAAACAAGTCTGACTTTTTGCTACCTTCCACTCCTCCCCTGCATCTGGTGAACATTAATACAGCTTTGCATGCATTTAACTGCTGGAGCTGCTCTGCAGTTGTTCCGCACTTATTGAAAGTGATGCTGACAACACCAAAGCCGTCTCCTTTTATCGAGTGCTTCATTTTCAGCGTTTGATATGAGACAACACAGATCAGAGAAACAGCAGGTTCAGCCGGACCATCAAAGCCATAGTGATCACATATAAACATATAAAATGTTTGGTTCATATAAAACATATCCAGATTCTGCCTCAGGCTTCATTGCCTTTTTGGTTTTCTCTGACCCTACAACATGAACTATGAAAGTATTCAGTGGATGCATATAAGACATTTTACAGCTCATCTTAAGAAACTTGTCACCACTTTCAGTACAAGTAATCCCACAGAATGATTAAACTGTTCCAACCCTGACAGCTTTAATCTGATGAAGTCAGGTCAGGCTGCTTTTATCATCAGTGAGCATTTCAGTCTAATAATAGTTTTTCTGTGTCTGACAAACCGTTTACTTATGCAGCTTCAATCAGATTGAATGTCAGAGGGAGGACGCTTTCTATGTTCTTATCTCCTGTTTAAAGTGAGATGCATTTCCAGTTGACACAAGTAGTCCAATATATGTACCCTGACCCTCACTGAGCTGAACATTTCCAGACATAAGACTGAAAGCATCCAAAGTATCAGCTGTGTTAAGAGGGCTCTCTCCCATCTCTACTTGAATAGCCCCTGAAACTAATGGGCCACTATTCCTCTGCAGGGCTCTGTCCTGGGGGATTCGGCTGATCTTGGCTGTGTGAGAACAGATGTTTCAATTGCCGTTTTGGTGTCTATGTGACCCAAACTGTCTGCCCTCAGAGCAAACCTCCTGCAGAGAGAGTGACTCCGCAGCAGACGCGGGGGAAAGTGGACTTCGCAGGGTGGGTAAATGTGGGCATCAAGGTGGGAGAGGAGAGGGGAGGGGCCACGTATCCTCCCAACTTAGCTCAGTGTCCGCGCACGAATAAGAAAAACTACGCAATCGGAAGATAATTATGTAACTTTGTGCCTCAACGAACAGCCACAAAGTGTTCCCAGTCGACAGGCTGTGATTGACAGTCCCTGCGCCAGCCTCTGTATAAAAGAGGAGGAAGGTCGGAGCGCAGTCACTGCTGCGCCTCCGGTCCTCCAGACTGTGGATGTCGTGAGCCAAAGTGGACTTATACGTTTTTTATTAGGCACAGGGGCTGCAGGAAACCCCGACTTTCATTCATTTAATTCTCAGTTTCAAACCTCAAATTTTAAGGTTGCCTTTTTGCTGTTGCTGGATATACATCCGATTTTTAAAAAAGGAACTTGAACTGTTCAGGTAAGTCAAAGTCTAATGGATCATTTGATCGCTGACAGATAAATCCTATTCTATTGTAGTCAATTGGCTACCAAAGCAAGCCTCTTGCCCCAGAGTTGGATTTTTAAGTTTACTTTGAGTTGCATTATTAATTGGAGCTATTCTTATCCTAAATAGTTGCATAAGTAACTTTTCCCACAATTTTTTGGGGGATTACTGAAGCCCTAAGTGTACAACATCAACATCTGATTCTGGTTTTGGGGAACATCAGATGAAACTAACAAAAGCGTTTGTTTGTTTGTTTGTTTGTTTGTTTGTTTGTTTGTTTTTTGTTCTTTATGAAGAAGATATGATACTCAGGAGCAGTTTCTACTTGTTACTCCTTTCTTTATTCCAACAAGCTGCCACTCAAGGTAAGTGGAAATATGTGTATCCCTGTTATTTTTACAATTCAGTGTTAATGTTTCTGCTTCTATTATTTGAGGATAACTCAGACCTGGAAGCTATCTGATTCTAAATTCACACCAGTCAAATGTTTCCATAGGGCTAAACAATGCAAGTTAAAAATGTTTCCTTTTTGTTTATTTTCTTCCATATCCCTTTGTCTGATGTGTAGATGAACAGCAGGAAGACGAAACGTCATTTGACTTGTTTGAAATCAGCCACATCACACGAAAGACCCTGGGGGCCAAACAATTTCGGGGCCAAAACTCCGATGCCCCTGCCTTTCGCTTCATCCGCTTTGACCACCTGCCCCCCGTAAGCCCCCCAATACTAAAACAAATTCTACGTCAGATCCAAAACAATGAGGGCTTTGTGTTCGTGGCCAGCATGCGCCAGGACCGTGGCTCGCGGGGCACCCTGGTCGGTCTGGAGGGCCCTAACGGCCGGCGGCAGTTTGAAATTGTGTCCAACGGACGTGCTAACACTCTGGATCTGGTGTACTGGGTGGACGGCTCACAGAACGTGGTCTCCTTTGAGGACGTAGACCTGTCCGACTCACAGTGGAAGAATATCACTCTTCATGTTCACGGGGAGAACGCAAACCTGATTGTGGGCTGCACCCTGATAGACAGCTTCATCCTGGACGAGCCCTTCTATGAGCACCTGCAGGCCGAGGGAAGCCGCATGTATGTTGCAAAGGGATCCATTCGGGAGAACCACTTTAGGGTAAGATAAAGACAACACAAATATAATAGATAATCATACATTTCCAAAAATGTGGAAATTTTCTCCACATTATTTGAAACAAGACTTTGATGTTAGCCTACACACAGATGAACCATGATCAAGAATAACTTTGACTGTGTTTGTTAGAAATCTATTCAGAATAGACAATTTAGCCACATATTTGGCCAATATTTAATGACCACATTTTCCTGCCTTACAGGGCCTTTTGCAGAATGTGCGTTTCATCTTTGACACGCCAGTGGAAGATATCCTCCTGAGCAGAGACTGCGAGTTCGAAAAGGAAGGTGAGAGAGGAGTTTTTCGTTTGAGCAAGGTTTTCAAGAAAGTCTTTCAAATAATTTTCTTTAAAAAATTCCTGCAAAGCTAGAGGATTGGAAAACATTTATATTTCATGTGATTATCAGAAAACAAAAGATGAGCCGTGCTAATTATATTTGCAAACAGTTTCAATACTGATACCTTGCAGATGTGATTTGGAAACTCTTTCACATGCAATCCCCCAGGAAATAGTGTCTGTGTTTTGTTAAGTAAAACCACAGCAAACAGTTTAACAGCGTCTCCTGACACCCTCCGTATGCGTTCAGCTCTATTTTAAATGGGTCAGAAAGCTTGCACATTTGATCCGTGGCGAGACCTCTGTTGCCTCATGTTTACGGAAACTCCAGCGTCGATGCAGCGGCTTGAGGTTGACCAGTGAACAAAAGGAGATACAGATGCTTACATTTATTTCCATTGGCAGAGGACTTGGGATAATACCCTGGGAAAGAATACAGAAAAAAGGGAGAGTGAATGCTATACTGCAGAGCTTCCACTTCCAGCTGCTCACACACACATACGGTCGGTGAGGTCATAAATTGGCTGATTGGGTTGCTTTTCTCAGCTGAAACTTTGCTCATATGAAGAATAAGGTCCTTGTGATCCTCAGCGGACTCACACAAAGAATAGCAACAGCTACAAAGACACAGATTTCTGAGTCTGCACCTAACCATCTTCTTCATCAAACCAAGAAGGTCACCATATCTGGAAAAATGGAGTCTTTGGTATGCAGTGACAAACTTAATCCACATGTACTGCGGTTTGGTGCTTTCTGAAGTACTTCTTGCATATCTGTTGCCACCAGAACTGTCAAATTTCACCTGGAGAAGTTTAAGTGTCTGACAAATGTCCCCAAAGCCCTGCTCTCTTCTGCAATCTGGCTGGTAACACTCAAACTTCTACACAGGTGGGGTTTAATGCCAAAAGTCATGACCCACACTAAGCGTGCCTTTTGGATATGAATGAGTGGCATAAACACTAGCGTTTGTTAATCTTCTGCATGTATATTTAGACAGAAGAGAGAATGTCTATCAGGGAGAGAAAAATGTGTAAATGCTTTTACAGGCAAACCCTCCAGAGATTTGAATGATTTCAGCAGACTGGAGAGGAAATAAAGCATAGTCGGACATCACTGGGCAATTTGGATGACTTCTTGATTTAGAGTCCCCAGTCTGCTATTAATCCAATTTACATACCTCCATCCAAAGCAGTTGCAAAAATGTGCTGTTTGTTGGCTGAATGACAGGCATTCCACTGACTTTGATACATGTCTTGTTTATTTATCCAGTTCTACATTTATTTTGGAAATTGTGGCTTTACAAAGTCTACCTTAATACAATTAGGAGCCAGCAGTTTGAGATACACTCTGGGGGTAAAATGGAGGGGTAAAGTGAGGGAATGTGGGGTAATTATTATGTCATAAGGTTCACTGCAAACTCCACCCAAAAAAAAGCTGCCCTCTCCTGCTGTGCGACTTGTATTTTTTGCCTGTCTGTGCTGTGCAAAGATCACAGCTGGTAGACACGTTACTCCTGGCCGGCTGGACTTCCTACTCCAGATGTGTTGATTGTGCAAAGACAACTTAACATTAAGCCTCATTAGGGGTTCTCAAAACAGTTCCTGTAGTTAACGAATGTGCTCCTCTCCAAAATGGACACTGGAGGAAAAGGTTAGTAACAAACAAGGCGGCTCACACACTCACACATATTCTAAAGGGGTGCCCCCTGGTCCTGAATAGCATTATGAACAAGCCTGTAACTTGATTGCTGTCTGGTCATTCCACTTTTTTGGGATGTGTCCTTGTGTCTAAACGGTCACATCAATAATTGGTTGATGTAAGTTTTTCTCCATCACATTTGGGTCTCCCTGATCTTCGCTCAGCAGTGCCATCCTCTGGTACTCCCACATCCAGCCCCTGTGTCAAAAATTGCACTATGATCCAACACAACCTTTCCAGTTAGACACACTTTCAAATTAAGCACTGCTGCTGGCTGCCTATGGATTTTAGGGCCATATTATATATGGCATTTGCAACATAGATGTGGGACAGGAACCCAATCCCTTTTAAGTGTCATTGCATTCCTGCCGTCATATCCTCTCTATCACAGGTCCATGTTTCTCATTCAAATGTCTAGTTTAATCTCTCTACCCCTCTCTTTGTGTCTCTTCCAGATGATGCCAATATTGTTAGTGAGAGCACAGAAATGGTGGATGTAAGCCCCTCCATCACTACAAACGTCATAGGTCAGAAGACAGATGACCTGGGTGCAGATATGTGCGAACGCTCCTGTGAGGAACTTAGCACCATGTTCCAGGAACTCAAAGGCCTCCGTATTGTCGTCAGCAATCTTATTGATGGATTGCAAAAAGTGGTAAGATGACAAAGTGCCAGATATAGCAACCTGAATGCTGATCCAATCAAACCTAATCCTGACTTGTGTTTATTTTAGAGTAGCTATTGCCTGTTTTGCTGTGTTCCTTAAGCCAACTTCAGTGATGAATGTAAAATCTGTCTTAAACTAAAGAAAGGAATTTTGTATTTGGAATAAATGATACGGTCCTCTGTGGAAGAGCCAGAGAGTAAGTGGTTTGAAATGGGTTACTAGGTAACCTACTTTGGTTTAAAAGCAAACAGTAAGTGGCCACAGGATTGTTTATAGAGTGGCCTGTGATGGCTGAACCCGTTTGACTCCTGCTATCTGTGGCAGCGTGAGTCAGACAGATTTTATGACATGTTACATGTGGATATAGGAAGTGTTTCCCTGGCAGTGACTAGGTCCAGTCTAATGTCTGGCTTTGTTTAAACAGTCCATGTGTTTCCTCTGGGAGCCTCCCAGCAATAAGAGAGTCTGGGCATGAACCTTGAGGGAAAAAAGAGGCTGGTAAGAGAAGGGTCCCTGAGGCTCTTCCAGATCGAGTGGAGTCTTAAACTCTAATGCTACACACTGCTTCTTCTCTGGACACACAGAAACTCACAAATACTCACTCGCAGAAATCTTTGGCAGTGGTTTATTGACTGATAGTTCCCAAGTGTTGGGGAGTCCAGCCAGAGGTCCCCTGGTCTCCAAGTGGGTTGGAGGTTGTAACATGCATAAGAAAGCAGAACATTTCAGTGGTCAGTTTCTCTGAGTGCAACGGAGAAGAATAAAGGAGCAGAGTGTTGTTAAAACCACAAAGTGCCGTCATCACAGCTGAATAGTATTGTTTGTAGGTACGACTTTTATGTTTTGTTTTACCCAGAAAAGAATGGCATACCATAATTAGAAGGAGCTGTACACCTCAGGGCTTCACCCAACCCTGAGAGGGAAGTCAATATGTCAGCAGTTTAGCCAGAATAAATAAGAGGGTGCTATTTTTAGCAATTTTTTATTATGTTAGGTGGCGTTTCTCAGATGGCAGTAGTAATTTTAGATAAATGATCCTTACATTTTAAACAGAATGAGTGCTCTGCAGGAGCAGCGTGAATTCACACTTTCTAAACCTGCCGGAATGAAATCCCCACATGAACTCCTAAAAGAGTCATTTTGACAGCAGTTAAAGCTCTCTGTCCGCCAGTGGCAATATGCCTCGTCACGAGTGTGTCCTAATCATTTCTGACTGATCTCCTCCCTCACTTCAAATCTGTTGCTGTGTTTTCAGACGGAGGAGAACACAGTCATGAAGGAGGCCCTTGGGAGAATGAAGAACTCTAAAGAGAAAAACATGTGCTGGCAGGATGGCCGCCTGTTTGAGGACAAGGAAGACTGGGTTGTAGACAGCTGCACCAAATGTACCTGTCAGGTACTGCCAGGTCATTTAGAATTAAATGAATTCCAGATGGGTAATAATGACCCAAATAGATTGATGGAATTAACTGATATTCACAGGAGTCAAAGATTGTGTGCCATCAAATTACCTGCCCTCCAGTGGCCTGTGCCAGCCCCTCATTCATCGACGGCGAGTGCTGCCCTGTTTGCTTACGTGAGTAATTGGAACCCCTTCAACATACGGGCCGTTGCAAACATGCAGCACAGCTTAGGCGTGCATGTTTTGTTATTTTAAAAAAGGGTGCAGTGTGCCATAAAAACACTTTTGCATGCAAGTTAAGCTTCAATTCACCAGATTGACTGTGGGGGTGAGACGCATGTTTATAGTCTCTAAGAATGGCAGCTGTGGGTTCTTCGGATGAGGTCATTTGATAAGCAGACTGGCATGAGAACTAAATACTTCAGTCACAGTCTTTTTTTGGTACCTTTGTCATTCTGTTAAATAAATTGTGTGGGAGTATTTTTGGTGCAAAACAAAAAAATAAAAATATCTTACTGTTTCCAGCCAAAGACAGTGAGGACGGCTGGTCCCCCTGGTCAGAGTGGACAGAGTGCACGGTCACCTGTGGGATAGGTACTCAACAGAGGGGACGGTCATGTGATGCAACCAGCAACCCCTGCACAGGACCCTCTATCCAGACCCGCAAATGCAGCCTGGGAAAATGTGACAGTCGTGGTGAGGCTGGCCATTTTTTCTAAAATGTATTTTTCTCAACTCGTTTATCTTATGCAGCCACTGCCTCAGTGCTGTGACAGTTTCTGCAGAAACAGTTGTGTTTTTGCTGCTGACAGTAGTTCTAAGACAAACATTTGCATGCATATGACATGGGGTGGACGTAATGGAACTGTGGGAAAGTCAGCATGGCTCAGCTGAATATGAGATGAAATCTTTCAAAGTGCAAAAGACTCAGCCAATGGCTCCATAAATCTGAATCCATCGCAGTGTGTCTAAATGTGTGTGAAAATTTGGATCTCATAGTTGGATTGAAGGGTGTGCCCAGTCAAATGTAATCCCAAATAAGCAACTGGCTGAGAGAGTGTTTAACAGTAACAGTCCAATGACTCACTGCTGCCCCCGTGAAAAATAAGAAATATAAATCCACTCATAACTGGATGTACTATATATGAAGTGGGGTGATTTAGCAGTATTTGTGCTGGTGGATGTAGTGATGAATTCAGCATTCGATTAGTTACTGGATCAGCGTGTGTTTTTGCTTACAGCTGCAATTACACTGCATCTGTATGACTGCCTGAGTCTAACCCTGAAGAGATAGTTTACCCACTGTGACATGAATACTGGTGTAAGCATCTTACAAAGTGAAGCTGCTGTCGCCAGCATCAGAAAATGTGGTGGCACTTCCTCTGTGAAATTTAAAAGTTATGCAACAATGTGAATGTATGGAAGTTTGGAGCATAAGACGTGCGTTTTGGAGATTTGTGCCTGATATATTTAATGATTCATACCCAGTTCGCCAGGACGGTGGGTGGAGTTTGTGGTCGCCATGGTCGTCTTGCTCAGTGACCTGTGGAGAGGGACAGATTACGCGCATACGCCACTGCAACGCTCCCGTGCCACAGCTGGGCGGCAAAGACTGCGAGGGGAGTGGGAGAGAAACCCAGAGCTGCACTGCCAAGCCATGTCCAAGTGAGTATCTCAGCTTAGGACAGGATTCCTCAAAAGCGGCATCTCCTGTACAGCAGCTCGTAGGTCATGTGTCCTTTGGAATTTTTACAATTTTATTGCCATGTGATCTGAAATTGGAGTGGATCTTTAAGCGGTTTCTACTCTTGCCTGTAAGGCATGGCTAAAGGTCTAAAATAGGTATCATTTAGAAATAATCAAGGAAAACTTTTACAGCAGCTTCAGCTGCAGGGGTGATGGGTTTTGTCTCTGTAACTGTGGCACATTAACAACTGGGATTTTCTGCCTGGTTAACACTGGTCTGTTAACACTGGTCACCACACTTCTCTCCTAGGAAAAAAATGTTTTTGCATCATCTGTGGGTAGTAATGAGAAGTCTTTTGTTGGTAGATCTCATGACACTTCTTCTACACACAGGTGGACTTTATTGGACTATTTATGTTACTTTTAAAAAATAGCATTATCTCTTGTTATAGGGCTCTATAGGAAAAGATTGAATAGATATGCCCACATTGCATTTGAATACTTTATTTAGAATGAAAACTTTTCTACAACATTCTCTTTCCCTATAATTTCACTTCACCAATGTGGACTAATTTCTGATGGTCCATTATAGTGACATCCCAATACATTGTTATTTAAGTTCAGGTTGGGACCAAATGTTTAAAAATAGGAAAAATGACATATATCTTTGACAGCCCTAAACATGCGATCCGTGTGTCTTTTTAGTTGATGGTGGTTGGGGGCCGTGGTCTCCATGGGCGACATGTTCTGCAACATGTGGAGGGGGACTCAAGACTCGCTCACGAGAATGCAACAGCCCTGAACCTCAGCATGGTGGAAAGAAGTGTATTGGGGAGGCTACTGACAGTGACAGCTGCAACAAAGGAGACTGTCCAATTGGTGAGCATCCATCACTTTTCTTAGCTACTACACCAGTAGTTATAAAATTAAACAGTTTCCTCCTAAACAATTTCTGTCGAAGCACAACAAAATAGAAACATTTTCAGAGCTGAGGCTCTAAGAGAAACTTAACTGATATGTCCTACTCTCAGACGGCTGCCTATCTAACCCGTGCTTTGCGGGAGTGGACTGCAGCAGCTCTCCCGATGGGTCTTGGGATTGTGGCCCATGTCCTGCTGGCTTTCGGGGAAATGGTACCCATTGTGAAGATATTAATGAGGTGACATTCACTGCTTTTTTTTTTCATTTGTTAGCATAAGCCAAATAGTTTTGACACCTCATTTATGCACACATTTGTTTGCATTTGGCTGATCCATTTCTCCCTCACCTAGTGTGACATGGTGTCTGATGTTTGCTACAAAGTGAGTGGAGCACAGCGCTGCATCAACACCGATCCAGGTTTCCACTGCCTGCCCTGTCCAAAGCGCTACAAGGGCAACCAACCATTTGGTATGGGCGTGGAAGCAGCTAAAAGAAATAAACAAGTGAGTTTGTCTTACTCCCATTCAACAATCTCGAATTGACCTCTGCTAAGATATTAATGAAAAAAAGTTCTCTTGAAAAAGCAAGAACAATGTTCAATAAGATACGCTGTGGACACATAGTCCCAGGCAGAACTTTGCACTTTGTTATTTATATTTTAATGTATGTATGTAATGTAAAAGGCTAAAGCAGGTCAGTGCTTTGGCTGAGGCACATGTGTCACATGTGATTTAAAGAAAACGTTATAAATCGGTATTAGCAACACAAGAAAGAAGAAAGTGGAATAACCCTTAACCACTAACATATGGTACACATCTCTGGCTCTGGTAAGATTTACAGTTAATTGAAACAGTGTTTTCCACTGTATTTTCATGTAGATGTGGAACTGTTTCATCAAACAAAATTAAGTTAGGTCATATCTGTCTCATCTAGCGCAGGTAATGTGACATGTCATATGAGTCATACTTGATTGTTAAGCAGTCATTTTCTTCTCTTGTGATCAGTGAATTCACAGAGTCTCTGAAAGCTGGAAAACTGAACAGCCTGATGCTCGTCCACCGTCAAAATGGTCTATAACTCCCTTTGTAGACCATTTTGTCACACTTTAGCCTCTGCAGCTGCCGCTGTGTGATCTGATGCTCCATTTTCCATAATTGATTGGGGGAAACGGGATTTTTCTACTCTTTGGCATCAAGAGGCCCCGTTTCACAGTTTTGATCCAAGGCCTGTTCATGCTGTCATTTATTGGCTCCATGAGCTCATAGTGTGGCATCCAAACTGCTCTCAGGTTCATCTGCTGGTAATGATTGGCAGCTGTGAATACATTCAGCTCCAGAACGGGGGTGCAGCATTATATCTTTAAGACATATATGATGGCATTAGATAGAACTGGATCAAATCAGCTCTTCCCAATAAGTGCCCCACACTTTGGCAAAAAGAAAGCTACGTGTCTAGACTGATCACAATCTTTGGAGGGCCATTTTTTTATCTTTGTTTTAAGCAGAAGCCGTTGCCACATTCTGTGCTCTTGACATCTCATGTTATGGAAGATTTTTTAAAAACCTCTTTATGTCTTTAGGTGTGTGAGCCAGAGAACCCATGTAAGGACAAGACCCATAGCTGTCACAAATATGCTGAATGCATCTACATCAGCCACTTCAGTGACCCAATGTACAAGTGTGAGTGTCGCACTGGCTACGCTGGGGATGGCTACATTTGTGGCGAGGACTCTGACTTGGATGGATGGCCTAATCTGAACCTTGTGTGTGGTGCCAACACCACTAATCACTGCGAGAAGGTATCGTAATCACACTTTTTTTTCCTCCATATTCATAGATAGTGCTCTCAGCTGCTTAAACTTGTTTGCTTCTTGCTAATAATTCAGGACAACTGCCCTAACCTCCCGAACTCTGGACAAGAGGACTTTGACAAGGATGGTCAAGGAGATGCTTGTGACAAGGATGATGACAATGATGGAATTCTGGATGAAAGGGTGAAGAAAAGTTTTTATTTTCACATGTTATATTATCATGAATAATCATGAGATTTCATGAAAGCTAATATAGATTTAAAAATAACATACACAAATGCGCAGTTCGAAAAACAAATTCACACTAATTGCCGATAAATGTTTTCGGACAGAGTAAGAGTAAGAGCATAAGGTTTTTCACCTTACACTCTTTTAGAAAATCTCTCAAGAAGTATTTGATTTTATTTTAGATTTTCTATCTGTGTAGAATATGAAATAAATTAATGTCAAACTTTGAAATGCCATCTAATGAAATGATTCACATGCCTGGCTGGGATTTACAAAACCTTAATTATTTCTTCTATCAGCATATAGACTGTCTGATCCAAAAGTTTATGTTTTGGGTGATAAACATGTTCTTTCTGCCACAGGACAACTGTCCCCTACTTTACAATCCTCGCCAGTTCGACTTTGATAAGGATGAAGTTGGCGATCGCTGTGACAACTGCCCCTATGAGCACAACCCTGCACAAATAGATACTGACCACAATGGAGAAGGAGACGCGTGTGCAGTGGACATTGATGGAGATGGTAAACTATCTATGCTTGAGTCAGACATCAGAGAAGACTAATTATTAAATCCCACAACTTAAATTGAAGGTAAATGTCATGAAATAACTTTTTTCCCCTTTACAGATATTCAAAATGAGAATGACAACTGCCCCTATGTATACAACACTGACCAGAAGGACACAGACATGGATGGAGTTGGTGACCAGTGTGACAACTGCCCGTTGCTTCACAACCCTGACCAGGTTGTCCCCAACACTGCAAATAATGATACATATCAATGTAGCATGTGCATGAGGTGTTAACTCAGACGTGTCTGCATCGACAGACTGACCTCGACAATGATCTGGTCGGAGACCAGTGCGACAATAACCAGGACATCGATGAAGATGGCCATCAGAACAATTTGGACAACTGTCCTTATGTGGCCAACGCCAACCAGGCAGACCACGACAAGGACGGGAAAGGAGATGCATGTGACTACGATGATGACAACGATGGTATACCTGATGAGAAGGACAACTGCAGACTGACACCCAACCCAGACCAGGTGGACTCTGACGGTGAGGATCTCGTATCTGAAGGCTTTATGAGTATTCATCGTCTTAAAAAGATTTTCGGGGAAATCGCTCACTTTAAAAACCCAATGGCTGTTCAAATCTCTCCCGCTGAATGAGATTTAGCTTTTTCCCCACATGCTCAGTAATTAGTTTCCCACTGCCAGGTGTGAAATGTGGCGACTGTGGAAAGAGTCAGCGGCTGGGCTGGTTCAAGTGATGTCATGTTGAATGACATCAGTGAGCTGGCCAGGAGGACACAAGCCAGATTATGAAGTTTTATTTTCCTTTTTATTTCCTTTGCTAGTGATTAATCCACAGTGGGTCTTAGCAGGATTTAAGTAGGGTTACTCTGAGTTTGTACAAAGCACAAAGGGGCAACATCTTGGAAACAATGCTTTTGTTTTTTTTATTAAATCATTTTTAGCCTTTTTGAAGTAAAAAAGCAAAGAGAAACAAAGAGAAGGAGCTTGTCAGGGCATTAGAGGATTTGTGATTTGCCTTCATAAACATGATATTGGTATTTCATTGAAGAATTTTTCTAATGAATGTCACACTCCCAAACGATTACTGCAGTTTCATAAGCTATAGTAGATTTATTTTAGGCTTTGAACAATTATGTCAGCTCTATTTATGTATGTTTGATCTTGTTTTTTTTTGTTTTGTTTTTTTAACAGGGGACGGAAGAGGGGATGCCTGCAAAGATGACTTTGACAATGATAGCATCCCAGATATCCTCGATGTGTGTCCTGAGAACAATGCCATCAGTGTGACAGACTTCCGGAAGTTCCAGATGGTTCACTTAGATCCAAAGGGAACCACTCAAATTGATCCCAACTGGGTGGTCAGACACCAAGGCAAAGAGCTGGTTCAGACTGCTAACTCTGACCCAGGAATTGCAGTTGGTGAGCAACACACTTGCAGCATGTTGATTCTTGTTTTCCTATATTTTTGAAGATATGACTGTATGGAGAGGTAGCATTTCTGTTGTCCTCATGCCACTACAGGTTTTGATGAGTTCAGCGCAGTGGACTTCAGTGGAACGATGTACGTGAACACAGACAGAGATGATGACTATGCCGGCTTTGTGTTCGGCTACCAGTCGAGTGGGCGCTTCTACGTGGTGATGTGGAAGCAGATCACACAGACTTACTGGGAGGACAAGCCCTCGAAAGCCTTTGGTATCTCAGGCGTCTCACTTAAAGTTGTGAACTCAACCACTGGCACTGGAGAAAACCTGAGGAATGCTTTGTGGCACACGGGCAACACTCCTGGACAGGTGGGGTGGAATCTAAATGATATTTGGTCTGTTTTATAGGTTTTTCTATACAAAGTGTCACTAACTATAGTATTTAAAATAGGTGCGCACTTTGTGGCATGACCCAAAAAACATTGGGTGGAAGGATTACACAGCTTACAGGTGGCATCTCATCCATAGACCAAAGACTGGATTTATAAGGTATGTCTGCCTTTCTATATCTGAAACGTTTTTCAGTAAAGGGCATGAAAAAAGGTTTCTGTTATGGCTTGGATTTTTGCAGGGTTGTGGTCTATGAAGGCAAGCAGATCATGGCTGATTCAGGACCAGTCTACGACAAGACGTTTGCTGGAGGCAGATTAGGTTTATTCGTCTTCTCGCAAGAGTTGGTTTTCTTCTCCGATCTCAAGTATGAGTGCAGAGGTAAGTTAGAGCCACAGACGTTTAACTTTTGTCGTAGAGAAATCAGCATATGTGCCATTATGTGATGTGTCTCTTTTCTTTCTACCTTTTAGAACACAAGTACAATTAACACTAGCTTTAGACTGCATACCAAACAGTGCACATTTTGTGCCTATTTGTCATATTTCTGATATCTGAATTAGATTAGATCATTCAAAAACAAAGAATGACAATAATGGTAGGGCTTAAGAACATGTATATATTTTTAAGTAGGTATAGTGAAATATTCACCTTTTTTATTGATTTGTTCATTTTATGGATACTGCTCATTATTAGATTAATAATGAGAATGAGAATTCTTTTCTTCTGTTATGTATTAGCAGCAATATATGTTGTCTGCATATGTAGATATATTTACAGTAAAAATGTCAGATAATGGGAAAATGAGCCCTTTCCCTGTTTGATATGCATGAACAAAGTCTTTAAACCTTCAACGTCTTTTTCAAACCTCAGATAAGCCGGAGTTCCCAACAGTGTTTGTAAGGTAAAGATTGGAAAGGTTGTGTGTTGTGTGTTGGCCGATGCCAGAATAATCTGCAAAATTTTTGCTTGTCAGCTTGCCCATGTACAATGTCCAAGTTGCATTGTGAAAGGCCTTGTGTGCTTATTCAAGGACTTGAGATCATCTGCTGTGTGATTAACAGTGGAAAATAAGCCTGCAGCCCCATTTTCAGGATCACAGCCATGTTACTGAAGTCACGCTTTTTTAATGCACACATTGCACATGTTTTCCCTGCACCCTGGCACTGTTGACCCTCCAGTTTTATTGTGCATTGTACTTCTGATTTTGCAGGTTATAGTAATGGAAGCCTTTTTCTCAATATTTCCACAGATAACTGAATCAACGAACATCAAAGGGCAAAAGACAAGAATCTCTCCAAATAGTTACCACATCATTGCTGAAGCCATTTCAACCTAAGTGGGAGTTTGCATACTTGCTTGCTTTGCCTTTATCCAACAACTGGAGGAGATATATCAGATTTCCTGGTGATTTATACACATTTCCATTGCTGAGAGAGAAAAACTGATGACAGCAAACATGTTTAAAAAAGCGTCTGCAGAATATCTAATTATAACTTTTGTACCTATTCAACAAAGTTAAATTCATTGTGCAACCACTTTTATGCTGTATGTGATCCCCACCAGTTTACTACTCGCTGCAGCTTCTAAGTTTCTCGTTTCTTGTCTTTTTTTGCCAAACAGCCACACAAACAGTCGATGAAAAAGACCAATATCCATCAAAACCATAATAATTTTAAAAAACTATTTGTATTCATTCCTCTCAACCTGAATGTGCTTTTTAGTGGAGAATTTGGTTGAACAATTTCAACAGTGCCAAAAGATGTTTATACTAAGTCTGTACGATAATTTCTTTTGTAAATTATTTAAGCTCTGCCTGTTTTGTTTGCATTTTTTGCTAGTTTGTAAATAATTTATTTATTTGTTTACACTGACACATATACATATGATTATCACAAACTTCAAGATAACACATTACAATATTAGGAGTTTTTTGTGTGTGTTTTCATGCACTTCCTTACCTTGTAATTTTCTTTTAAGTCTTTCAGAGGAAATGTGGTCTAAGGTTGCTTTAGAATAATCACATATATAAACACAGCAGATGTTTATGAAGGTGATGGAGAAAGTTTAATCTGGTAGTTTAGGACATCGCCTCACTGTCTTCAGTGATAAACCACTTTGGTTCTGGTGTAATTCTTTGATTCCTCCTGTTCTATGTCTTTAGGTAATCGATGGTCCTGTTGCTAACATGGCTGCTTTGATTTTAAATTACCTGATTCTGAAGGACTCCAGTGACTTCATCACCTGAGAGACTAATATTCATCTGTCATTTTTTTCAGTGAAAACTTTTTATAGATAATCTTTTTCATCAATATGTTAGTCATACGTATCATTAATGGATGCTGTGGAGGCTGAAAGCCTCTAAGGACAAAGTGTGACTGTGTGGCTGGGCGGGTTGAGGACATGTTTTATGTTTGTTACTTGATTGTTAGTCTGTATGTCATTCCCATTCTTTCCTGTTTGGTTTCCATCTCATTCTTTATCATAAGATTTTAGCACAAAATGTAAATGTCTTTGTAAACTTGTTTTGGTTAGATACATATTTTCTACAGACATTGGTGAACGATTGTTCTGTTTCATAAATAAAACCTTTTACACCACTTGGTTGTTTAAGACCACAATACATTAAGCAGTTATGATAAGATCATTGTCACCCTAGTTAATTATTTTAAATGTGCTTGCAGTTCAGACCAGCTGTTACTTGTGCCAAGTACATTTATATACATTATACATTTCCAAAGTATGTTCATCTGCTGAACTGATATGTGAGCATTGCCTGATGTTTCACATGTTTGTAATAGCCTCTGTAAAACAAAATGATTTAAGGCTGTGGTAGGGGTTGTAAGGTAACTTTTGTCTTCTGCTCATAGTCTGAAAGAGATGGGGTAGAAAAAAAGTACATTTTCTCCACATTTCATAGAAATTGGCAGTAAGTCAGTAACATCATTATGTATAAAAAGCACAGAGGCACAATCTTTTAGAATGGTATTGAACAGAGGTTAAGCAAACTGAAAAAAATCTGTGTACAACTTGTAAATTTGTCCTTTTATCTAAATGTAAGATTTAAAAAGCTTTTTACATTCTATTCTTCTACGGTACATCATTTGTCTTTAGACACACTTATGAATAACAGACATGATTCTGTAGAGGAGGGAAAACTTCCTGAGATGACTTTGTGAGAACAGCTCAACGTACTCCCCACAAACTCAGGTCATAGCGCTGCCAAGCAAAGACAATGCCACGAGAGAACGTAAACCACAAGCATCCATGTCTCTGAGCTAATGTGGCACATTTGTGTGCTTTCAGTGGTTGCTGCACTTTGACAGGCAGTTAAAAGTCCAAACGCAGAATAGTTTCTCTGCCAAGGTGAAAGCTCCATTTTCACTTTTTTTTTAAAACAATCTACTTTGATGTAAAGTAACCCATACTCCATCTCCTCATCTAATTCAATTCAACATGACCCAATTAATCTATTTATCTTTTCTAAACCTAAGTTACTTTGTTTATAATATAAGGTACAGATCTCAGCTACAAACTATTGATGGAATTTAAATATTTGGTTCATGCTGCAGAAAAAGATAACACAATTAGAGTTGACTTATTTTCTATCAAATGTAATTTTTTTTGTTTTTTTTTACCTTATCTGGGATGCACTCAATCTATAATTTCGATACACAATTTCCTGTAAAAGTCTTTTAAAAATCAAAACAGAATAGCCACATTGTTGTTGTTTAGAGAGATTAACAGAAGTTGTAGTTTATGTTGTATGCATACCTCAGTTTGACCAAATCAGAGAGTAAAATGGGTTAACACGATGATGTTAGAGTGGCCAGGAAAAAATGTAATATTGAGGGGAAAAGGAGGGGTCAAACCATGCACTTCTAGCTGTGTCAGAGATATTTGTGTTGAGGTTCTTGGAATGCTCCACGTGGCGCACTCCAAAGACTTGCTATATGGGTCTGGCGCTGGTGGCTGGTTTCAAGCCCAGAGCACGTTCCATGGTGGTTCATAAAAATCTGCCAGAGGATGTCAGTATGTGACACAGTTAACCAGTATTTTCTGCTGAGGCAAGCAGCGAACATTTCAAGAAGATGAAAAACCACCAGGAGACTGCTTTGTATACACCAGACGTACATCAGGAAAAAATCATTTTTAACAAAAGAATTTGAGCATTATGAGCAGATCAACTCCAAGTTTGGAAAGTTCATCATTCATGTTAATGTTTCGTGGAACTTTCACACTTTTGTATTTGTTTCCGAAAACACCAATGCATAATTGCCCATTAAACAGTCAATAAAACCCAATTCAGTAGCTCTCCTTCACATTTGTCTTTTTTGTGAAATTACTAAACATGTTAGAGAAAGTGAAAGAAATGCAGCCCGATGTCAATATGCCAGCCTGTTCAAACCATTTCCAAACATTTGGAAATGTTTTTTAAACGCCGTCATCTGAAAATACATTTTTGCACTGATTACACAAATTTTCTACAGGTTGTGCTTGTGTTGACCTCGATCGAGTACGATCGCTTGCTGCAGCCCACTAACAAAAATCTGATAGTTGGTTTTAGAGTACTGTGAAGGTACTTCATAATGGTTTATTTTTCTTAAATACTACAGATTTATATAAACAGCAGCCTATAGATCTGTAATTCAGCAGACACTAACATGTAGTATTCAAGCCATATTTCAATGATTTTGTTGACCTTGTGCCAAAATATCCCATAAATAAAAGCAGGAAATTACAGCTACTTGATTTAAGACAAGCTGCTACATTGTTGACAAAAGCTTTTTTTTTTTTATAGATGAAAACAGATTTTTGGAAGAAAGGGAGTACAACTTGGTCTGTTCTTTTCCATAGTTGCTGTTCGGACATGTGTTTCACAGCAGGAGAACCAAACCCAAAATTTCCAATAAAACCAATCAGTTCACAGTGGGTGGGCCTGAATGCTCAGTGATGATCCCAGCTCTGAAGGCTGAAGCCAGGAATACTCTGGATATCCCACTGGGAATTCTGTGTTGGGGACTTGGAACATCCAACCTCGAGTGGAACACACTTTTCTACACTTGCCATAATTCAACTTGACAGTTACTTCTTTCTTTTTTCATCACACCACACCTGCCTTGTAAGAATGATCTTGTTTACAAAGTGTTTGTAATGGCTACGTGATGCCGAAATTTTTATATCGAAAACGAGTTAAGCGCCATTTTGGTTCTATAAAAGCAACAGCATTCCAGACTCCTGAGAAGCATACTTTTTTCCCTCATTCCCAGAATCCAAGTGAATATTTTCCCAATGGCTCATTTAGAGAAAAAGGCTATGTTTCTGCTGAACAAAACGACTGAGATGCAGAGGGCAACTTTGTGAGGAAAGAAGTAGGTCTGTCACTTAGAATAAAGCAAGCCATTTATTTCAGGGCATAAGTTCCTATGGTCATTAGGAAAATATCCATACCTCTTTTTAGTGCCAGCCAAGAGGGTGCAAACTCATTGCTCCCAGAAAGCAGAGAACCAACAAGTGTTGGACTACACACTTGTGTCCTGCAGAACAGGGGCCCCGAGCTGTCTACATGAACCCAAAACTTTGATATAATAGGTCTGAAACGCCTCACTTCAGATGTTTTGAATGATTGATGTCAGACAGGGGAAAGATACTTTAGGGGGCAAAATCAAAGGTCAAGAAGAAAACTTTTAAGTATGAAAGAGGGGAAAGAAATATCTTTTTCCTCTTATTTAGCTGTAATCATACTTTTGAATATTTGTTTTCTAAAGGGAATCTGCACAAAAGTATGATATAACCTACATCTGATAAGTGTTGGTAGGACTTTTTTCCCACTATTGTCGTGGTGGCACCCATGCAAAACTAAGACCAGATGCATGGGGTCCCATTAAATCAGGATGCAAGGTCTTGGCCTGGCTCTGAACTTGCTTGAAACAAACCCAGACAATGAAGATGGCTGCAGGAGCCCCTCTTTGGTCTGACTTTTATCTGAGATTTATCAGACTTAAAAAAAAAACGAAACCAAATACAGGCCTCCAATTGTCTGAACATCAAACAAAATCAAAATATATGTATCTGTCACTTCCATTGCTATAGGACTGATTCATTTTTGGATTGAAGGGTGTTGTGTAACAGCACAATCATCTCTCTTTGATGAATGGGGAGATGCTTTGGCTGTGCAGAGGTAGACCATAAGCTCCTGCACAGATCCGAGTAGAATAAATCTGAAACAGTAGACTATACCTAACCAAGCCACCATGTGTATCTGCGGTGGGTGCTAAATCACCAGCATGCTGCTGATGATTTTATTAAAATAACTTCAGGTTTGACTATAGATATTGCCTTTACCGATTATTACACTGTATTCATGTCAGACATGAGAAATGAACAATTAAACATTATGAATAACAACTATTCCATTGCTTCATTTTGCATGGGGTTGATAGGAATAATCAACTTAACTAATTATATTTTATTAAAAAACAAAAAGGAAAATATCACAAATTTAGAAATTGAGTATATTCCACTTGAACTGTTTAATTACAACCAGCAATAGGGTAGATATCTATAGTAATAATTGATTTTTTTTTTTACTTGATTTATTTTGCATTTATATTAGGAAATAATTTAAACTGTCATTTAGTTTCAAGGGAAATTTTTATCTTATTTGCTTACATTTTTTCATTGGGTAATAGCCTTAATATCACGTCGAGCCCTGACAACATAACACATATCTTAAATAGAAATAGATTTCAGGCTTCATCCTACATGGACACATATGATTAAGGATTCTGAACAGGGAAAATCAGATATTTTTTGGATGGGTGGCTATAAAGCATAAATCATCTACAGTGGGAGGAAATAAGTATTTTACCCCTTGCTGATTTTGCAGGTTTGCCCACTTACAAAGAATGCAACGATCTATAACTTTAATCATATGTACATTCTAACTGTGAAAGACAGAATCCCAAATAAATCTCCAGAAAATCACATCATATGAATTTATAAAAATTGATAACCATCTGATGAGGACAAAGAAGCATTATTTGTAAGTGGGCAAACCTGTAAAATCAGCAAGGGGTCAAATACTTATTTCCCCCACTGTATATAGCATGTAGAGCATATAGCATATAGAGTTAAAGTTTTAGTTAAGTTTTAGTCCCCTCAACTATTTAGGGTTTTGATACAAGTTCCCCTACACGGAAGCAATGCAGCTGAGTCATTGTGGGCAGGCCAGATGGTTCGATGTGTGGGGAGAAAGTGGCTACTGCCTCCTCTGCTGTGTGTGTGTGGGAATACAATACTACAAGGTCCCCTCCTTCTTTCAGCAGTGGAAACAAGCGATCACACCATATCCTTTTACATCTCTGATGGGTTTTTCAGCCTTGTTGTGCACTGGTGTAATGGAACATCCAGTCGTGCAAATACACACTTGCAAGCTGGAGTTATCAGCTATTCTTTCCTCACTTTCCTTTTTTCTTTCGTTTTTTCCGTCTGACTCATGTTACACAAGTGCTGGAATATATGTTGAATTTCCATTGCTCATGCCAAAGTAGATTACTTTACAATGTATAAGAATGTGCAAAAAGAAAGACACTTTTGCAGAAGGCCTGTTCAATCATTTCAGCAAAATATAAGATGCACCTTGTGATACCTGTGGGGTTTGAATACATTTCTGGACTAATTTAGTCAGAAAACTGGGATTGGGTGAAAAATTTGTATACATATACTGTATACTGTATATATATATACATACATATGTGCATTCTCATGGATTAATTTTCAGTCTGCGTGATCTGATAAGTAAGATAGAAAAATATTAGCCATGTTTAATCCTAAAAAAAGCACCTTACTTTCAAACTTCAACATATGGGATGCAAGTTTTTCTTCCTACTGTAAGAGGATAACTGGCTGTAACAGAAGAGCAGAAGAGCTGCCAGAGACAAAACGATGTTAGAATGTACATGTGTGTGGGTGTGTGCGATGAAAAACCTTTTCCTTTCTGGACTGCAGGAATGATCTCTACAAGGCTGTTTGGAAAAACAGACTCCTGCATGTTGGAACAATAAAAATGGTCCTGAGGTGAATATTAGAGTGAACTTTCCCCTCATAAACTACTTACCACGGAGAAATACGCAATTTAGAATTTTATTACTGGGATCATATGTTGTAAGAAGTTTTGCTTGTTGTTTGTGTCTTATCTAATCTTAATTTATCTTACCTATGTCACTTTTGATAAGGAACATGAAAGGAGATACAGATCCATGTGTTATCCATGTGTAATGGCCCCTACTGTGTTGTTAAAAAAGAATTGAAATCATTATCAAGCTATACATAACTGAAACACAACTCAGACTATTTCTGTGTGCGTACTTTATCGAAAACCAGCCCCCACAGAAAACTACTCTCCTGATATTTGTTTATTGGTGAGATCTCAAAGGATAATGGCAAAAAAACTTAGTGACAAGGTCAAAGCAGCTGCTGCTGCTGATGAATCTAAAGGTCAGTTCATCTGCTCATGAGGAGACCAGACTTTATCAGTTTGGTTATCCCACACTGCTCTCACAGGGTCGCAGCGCGCTACAGGATGCAGCTGTTTTCATCAGAGTAGCTGAGAAATCCCACAGAGCACTAGTTATTTACTGCAAAGACACAGCTGTCCTGCAACACAATGTAAACAAGAGCAGTCTGAGACTGAGTACCTGTTGAACAAAAGAGATGGGGCCAGATGGACATCCAAAGTGTCATGTTGGAGTTGAGCTATGCTTCACCTCAGGAGGGCGTTTTGAATGAATCCATCCAAGGTGTGAATGGTTGTGAAATAAGCTGTTGTGAAGAGTCAAGGCTGCATTGTTGGTGGGGCTATAACGTACCTGAGGCTGCGTCTTCTATATGAGTAGTTTTACCCATTTAATGCATGTGGCGTTATTAACTCGTCTCCAAAACCATCTTTGTCCTCCGGGCATTAGATGTCTTGAAAAGACATTCCATGTTCTTTGAGATATAGGAGGACTGGTGAGTGTTGACGTTTGAGGCTGAGTCTCCTGTCTTTTGCTGTGCACATGTGAAATGGTTGGCCAAAACTACGGCAAGTACAAATTTCTGCCAAGAAAAAAAAAACTTTTGTCTCATATCCACGCATAGTGCTGACCCTTATTTTAAGTTTGTTTGTCCTTTACCATTTGAGTGTAGCAGAGTCAGTTTTGTGCAGAGGGAGGAGACATGAGTTATATTGGAATAAGAAAATGAGTTACAGGGAACAACAGCAGCGGTGGGACTTTGCTGGGTTTTCTCTTACTCAATACAATAAGAAATATTATTAAACCTCTAGAGCTACAAACATGACAGCACAATAACTATAATGTAGCTGAAAAGATCAATAATCTAATAAAAAGTAATAACTTGAATATTGTGTTTCAGTAACCTGCTGCTCAATCTAAAGACAGAGACATACATTTTATTCAGAAAGCTTAATAAACAGAGCTTGGGCTTTAGATATCTGTTAATGCTAAAAGTAGGCAAGGTAAAATAGTTTCAACTGGTCTGAACTGCCTGTCAAGGAAAAAACAACAGCCTGCCTCCTGCTCTATCCAGCTCAACGCTTTTGCTCATTAATTGGTTGTGCATTCATATTTACAGCTCCCTTCAGAAAGACAAAGTCCCAGCAACAAAGAGAACCTTACTCTGCTCCTTTTACTGTTAGAGAAGCAGTTACATGGCTATCATTCCCTGCACTAATGAAATGGATATTTCCATTTGGATACATTGCGACTGCTCTCACTCATGTGCTGTGACCAGAATCCAACATTCGGCATGTGACCCTGTGTTGAATCACTTTCCTGTGCAATAAAACCCCAAATTTGACGTCTGTCATGGGAAGCGGGGGTAAAAGTTGAAAAGGAGGTCAATGTTTTATTCTTCTTCACCTTGATAATGGCACAACATCAAAAAACCTCACCGAGGCCAGGACTTTTTGGTTCATGGTTCAGGCTTCATGCTGGGACCCTTGACAGAAGCATGGCAGGTGTCCACAGAAAAAAATCCCAGTGTCTCGCTGACTGTCGGATGCCTGCGGGCCCCACGTTTACTCTGTCTGACGAACGGCGCTACAGACCAGAGTCCCTGATGAAACAGGCTTGCATGCATCAGGATCTCATTACTGGCTTAGTGAACATATACACTTTGTCAAATAAAATTTGGGCCCCAAGCTATGTTGTCACTTTTTCTGATTTGTACTTTTTTCCTATATGTCCAAAGGCCCAGTGCATGCATTCAGAAAACGTGAACACATCAATTCCTTTCATGACATTCCAACATGCAGTCATTCAGAATTATTTGATCTAATGTAGTACCCTGTTGACTACGTACTGTGCAATACTTGAGTGAACACAGCCTTTTCTAGGTCAGATGTTGTTTTTTTTGTGTGATATTGAAACCATTTGTAAAAACTTGTTGGCCAACTTGCCTTTAGAGTTGAAAACACGGCTTCTCACTTTCCGTCACACTTGACCTTCGTATCTGTTGTCAAGCTCCACAATATACTGCAGAAACAGATTCCCATCATTAGTATAAAGGGAAAGAATTGGGGCTTTATGGTGAAAAACATGAGCCAAAAGACCTATTACCTTAAAGAGTAGAAGAAAGGTTCTGAATGAGTGTCAATGTATCAAAGCCCTTCGCAGTCAAGTGATGCAGAATGGCTCGTAAATCACACTCAAGCAGCCATTTCACTTAATCCTCGGTGCATTCTTTTTACGGCATGTTCATCCAAATCACTCCTGTGTTGCTGAGCCAAAACTATGGCTCGTCCTGGCTCAAAGATGTTGGATTTGGCCAGCTGTGCAGACCTGATGGCCGAGAAAATGTCAGCTGCATTTTTTTTTTTCTAGAATATTTTATTCAAATGATCAGTAATAAACACGAGGGAGCAGGAAACCGTAACTTAAAGAGAGACTTTTTACAGTACCGACAAAGAGTTCATCGTCATTAGAAACAATGTTTTACTGCTTACTTTGTTCATGGGTCTTTGGCATGATTGGGCAAGAAACCCCGGTAAGTTATCATCGTAGCCTTTCTGTTATAAACAAGGTAATAAATAACGGTTGAAGATATAATGCAAGAAATGTCCGAAGCTGTACTCAAATTAACAACCCAACGCAGCTCCAATATTACATGCAGTAACCTGCTGTACCAGACAGGGCCCTGGAAGGGCAAAATTAACAGGAACGCATAACTCCTCTCATGAAAGATGACATTTCTAGGAAAAGGGGAAACATCAAATCACTTTTCCACTAAAAAGCGATGTGATAAAAAATGTCTGACAATAACTAATACGTCACCTTCCTTCTCAGGAAGCTCTTTGGGGTCAAGAGGCCCTCTTGACGATTAATTACTTCGGTTCAGGAACAAATTTCAAGATGCGTGTTTTCACTCTGAGTTACAGTTGTCTGTGAATGAGTGTTGGACAGTGTGTCCGGAGCTTGATTCGGCGATATTTCATCTTAAATCGGATTTGAACGCATTACATAAACGCATCTTCGTGGAACTATAGGAAAACCAGTGTGTGTGACAGTATGATTTACAGCAGCATGATGTGGGATTAACAACTGCAAATTTCGAAGTGTGTTATGAAATATCAATCTTTATCATGGTATGAAATCATAAAAATGCAAAACAACTTTGATTTAGGAGATGTCTATCTACACATTGCTGTTTAGAAATATCATTTTCATCTCTGAATATTACAGTAGAAATCAAGATGACGTTAAGTGCTCCAGCTCTTTTGGCTCTGCTGAATGTGCGTTCGTGGCCGTGTCTGATAGCAGGCCATCTCTATCTCCCTTTATTCTTGCATGAGGTAAATGTCCAGATGTGTGGCAAACTTGTTAAATAGGATCTTCGGAGTACTGCTTGACTGTAAAAAAGGAGTGACGAGACTGTTGTTTGAGCAAGCCGCAGATTGTGTAAAGATCACCAACTTTGCAAAGCACCCTAATCCATCTTTCATTCTTCCCTGACTGCATGGTTGCTCAGAGTAAAGCCAGACTTTCATCAAAGTAAATGACATAGACATGACAGCTTGAAATGAAGATCTTAGACTTTAACTTGTCTCTCCATAAAACTCTGTTCCACTCATCCTGAGTCCAGTGTAGATGGTAAAGCATGAGTCATGCAGACTACGCACGTGAGGAAATATGTCGTCTATTAGTTTCCTTGGACTTTCAAATGATGAGGTATCTCTACTGTCTGAAAAGCACCCCATGATATTTTGCATGAAGTGGCTTTCTCTTTTTCTGTGTACTTCTTTGTACTTTATGTTTACGTCTTTTTAAAAGATGATTTTGAGTAAAAAAGGGTTTTGTGGTATTACACATCAATACTACAGAATCGTCTGTTGACACACTGTTAAACACAGACATTTAGGAGCCAAAAACTAAGTTACTCTAAAAATAGGGAGAAATTAACTTTGCATTGTTTCTGCAATATCGTTTGGAAAAAAGTAGTGTTTTGATGTTTTTTCTTGACATAACTAAACATCAGCTAATAGTAGCAGCTAATAAAGCTGCACAGTAACTTGTGATAATTTGAAACTATACTCATGTTACTGATCTTTCTTTTTTGTGCTGAATATGTCCAAACAAATGAGCAACATGAGCAGTTTTTGGTCCACTGTGCAATCATATTATTATTTTAAAGGCATTTAATAGTCATCAAAATGTCTTTGCTTACACAAAGACAGGAGCTGCATTCAATAAGAAAGTTATTATGATGGTATCACACCAGCTTTGTTCAGTAAGCATTACTGTACACTGCCATTTCCTTCATTTTTTTTCCACCCTGAACCACTTGAGAGAAAAAGGTGAGGCAAACGAAGCATGAAACGTCAACTAGATTTCATACAGAAACTTGCACACAATGTGTTAGTACTTATAGTATTGCCTCTACATTGCTTAACATGGGTAAAATGTTTCAACTATGCACATAAAATTGTTTTACCTTTTAGTCCATTTGTCAAAACCAAGGTTTTTAAACTGATTCATAACTGACTCATTGCATATACTATCCTTTGGCCATTTTTCCACAATTTTGCAACTATGTGTGGTGTTGCTGTTTATTTGGATAAAGCATCTTGTCTACTCTCTAGCAGAAGTCTTGAGATTCTGCTATGATTCACTGAAAATTCCTTCTCAAATAACATTTTGTGAAGTCAACCAGTTCATCTCAGTTCGCAAACCTCGACACATTAGAAATATGTGAGATCTTTTCTCTTGGTAGTTTTGAAGGAGAGGCTTGGTTGATTGGTGAGCTGCTTAATTTAATTATGTTTGTAAAGATCTTTCTTTATAGTGCATAAAAAAACACATCCTATCTTCAGCATCTTCTCACAGCCTGTAGCTGTTGCTTTGGGACTGATTTTCCCTTCACACCAAACATGACTCTTTCCTGTGCAGCAAAGTGACAGCTTGCTCTCATGCTGTCCCACCTTTTTTAGAACTGTTTTACAGGTGATTGTTGTCACTGCAGGGGATTTGAAACGGCACCCAAAGGTTAACCAGACTTGTGTGGCTACACAAGTTGTTTTTCCTTTTTTCCTTTTTCCTTTTTCAAGGCCTTGGCTTATTTCCTTTTATATTCCCATGATGTCAAACAAAGAGGTACTGCATTTGAGAATCCAACGTTAAACCCCAAATTGACACAAACCATGTCAGTTTACCCAGTGGAAACTCTCCAGTGCCATGGCATAATTTACTGGAATTTTCCAGTTTTTACAAAGGATCTTTTAAAGACATTTTTATATCATGCATTAAGTATCAGTTATTATTGACATACCATATGAAAGCTCGGCAATTGCACTGACACAAGTTTTAAGCTCCTCCTCGTGTGAGCGTTTGACTTAAACTGCATACTTATTTGGTCTTTGTTGACTTCATTAAGACTGAAGTAGTTTAAGCCTACGGAGTGTCATCAGCTGCACATAATCATCTCTGCAGCCAAAAAAAAGAGGATTGCATCAACTGAAAACTATTCCCTTGAGCCCTCTAATACTTTTCTTTTGTTTGGTATTGGAATATAAAGGACTTCCTGTCCTGCCTCTCTGTGTATTTGGAGCTCTTCACTCTATGTCTATTTGGTTGTAAAGAGCATAAAGGCTGAAGCATAATGGGACCTGTAAAAGGGGAACTTGGAAACACTTATTAGCAACGAAGAAGAACAGACAACCCATTTTTACGGCTTGTGGTTACAAAGAAAAAACAGCAAACATTGTTTGGTTTGGCATGGAGGTAACAACTGTTAGATTTGTTTAGCTGATGAAAGACTAAATCTGTGTGCACATGATAAAGGGTCTCAATGATGTCTTGTTTATATGTGGAATCCTTTCTGAGATCAATACTTTGTTCTTCACCCTCTAAGAAATCTGTCCAGTGCATCTTTGTTTCCCTCTGCTGGAGTAAGAGTAAACTTGCTGTGAAGCCTTCAAAGTGAATGTAATTGAAGCTGATGATAGCAGCCATTTCTCTCACTATTATTTACAGCAGAATGTTTTCAGTCTTATTAAAGAAAGGATGGTTCTTGTTTGGGTTTTTTGTATCACCCCTCTACTGACGAGTTCTCTGACACCACCCCTTTCAATTTGTGTGCTGTGAACTACTCAGCTAAAGATTTATTGGTCCAACCAAACTCAGTGGTTAAATACAATATTCAATTTGTTCATATAATATACTGTTGATGTACATTATTGCTTTTTATGATGGTTATACCGATTACAATGCTTGGACCGATTTGTAATAAGTACATTTGCTTGTCTTTTAAATATGAAACAGAAAATTAATTTTCATTGTCTGTGGTTCATGACATAGGTTCTATGGTTATATATCATTGTATGTACTTCTATCTGGAATAGAATAGAAAATAGAATAGAATAGTCATCATTAAACCCACAGCGGTGGGTAAACTGTTACTTCACAGTTACAAATACATTGAAGAAAATACGAAAATATCTGAAAAATATAAACAAAACTTCACAAAATTGTGATCTTAAATCTATGGAAACTTTTATTTTGGTGCTTTATTCATCAGTAGAAAGTAAGCAGAGACACGTGTCCCGGTGGGTCTCGTTGGGGTGAGCTGATCTTTAGGGTAAACCCAGGTTTCTGTAGCTGTGTGCAGGACGGGGCCTGCAGGGCGCGCTGCGCACCAGGCTGCGCGCAGGGACGCAGCAGGTAAACCCAATTTATACAGCCCCCATATCATCCTGTCCAATCAACGCCTCTGCAATCGTGTCTCAAAACATTTTGACACAGGTTCAGGGTTTAAAGTAAAGAAACAGAAGCGGGGTTTTCTTTTTGCTTGTTTTTGGGGACACAGCAACGCTTTGGTTCGATGTCATAGTGCCTTTCCTGTGAACATAGAGAGTCACTACAGAGCCATTCTGTCTGACTTTATGGCACCAATACACCGATAATCGTCAGTGTTTACATGAATTATTCAAATATTTATGTGGATTTAATACACTCTGCTGCTCAGTGGATTTGCGCTTAATGTGCAGTAAATACACGACACTGACAATCGTTGCAGAAAATCTCGTCAGCCCAACAGTTCACAGCCATTACCACGTGGAAAAACTTGTTTCCCCCCTCGTCAAACACACCCACACACGAGCGTTTTCATCCTTCGACCCACCCAGGCAGATGGGTGTGGCTCCTCTTGCGGGGAAGTTGCGCACTCGCTTGTGAGTGAGGTGAGGAGCCGCTCACAAAGCTCTATGAACCAAGCAAAACCTGAAAAGTACAATACCATGGTTGCATGGGGATAACGACTGTCGTTTAGCAGCTGTGTTTAGGAGGATCTTCAAGGCAGAATAACTCCTGGAGCTCACATAAACGGCTCGAGGTAAGAGTGACAAGTTTCAAAAGAAAAAGGTGAGATGAGGAACAATCTTGGGTCCCTTATTTCCTTTGTCATATTTCAAATGTACAGATAGTGGCTCTCAGTGCTAAATTATTTGTGTTAAGGAGTTACAATCTTCCTGTTTCATGCCCATTTTGCCTTTACTTTCAGAAAGAAAAAGCCACTGCCAGGTTTTAGTTTGAGCTGTCTCCATGAGAGTCATGTGTACAGCTAGCTTCTGCCCTGTAATTGGCTGTTAGTAGGCAGCCCCACTGAAAGGCTCCATTCATGAGATGAAACAAGGATTTGTTTCAAACAAACCCTCTATAAGCTTAGTGCAGGATGGACGTGTGTCATCCCGGCACAGAGCTGTCGCCGCTAGCTGAGAATGAGTCAGAATGAGACTGAAGAAAAGCGAGTGTTTTGCAAGTAAGGTGTGACCTAAATGAGGGTTTCTTCCAAACTTTTTAGAGAAGGATGGGGCTCCTTCAGCTGCTGAAATCACAATTGGTGTGCCATTTGATCCTCTGCTACGTGTTCCTGGCGAGCGGCCTGATTGTCAACCTGCTGCAGCTCTGCACTCTACCTCTGTGGCTGGTCAGCAAGCAGCTGGCCCGCCGGGTCAACATCAGACTGGCCTACTGCATCTCCAGCCGTAAGTCCTGACCTTGGGTCCTTTGGTGGTATTTTTTAAAGATGGATTTAAGAACTTTAGAGGTAAAAGTGTCAAAACCTTTAGCGGTCATTTTTGGTTAGTTTCCGATTTCAGTGGCCAAACCCTCATTCACTCACATAAAGCTGTTGACATCGGTTTGTTCTAATAATCCCCAGAGTTGGTGGCTCTTCTCGAGTGGTGGTCTGGGACAGAATGCAACCTCTACACCGATCCAGAGACTTATCCGCTTTTCGGAAAAGAGAATGCCATTGTGGTTCTCAACCATAATTTCGAGATAGACTTTCTGTGTGGCTGGACCTACTGCGACAGATTTGGAGTTCTCGGGGTAAGAAAAAGTGGACCGAAAAACCTGTCTGTTCTAATGGCTCCACGTATCCCCTTGCTTATCACTGATGCAGTTCGGTGCAGTATCTCCAGTTGAGGGATTTGCTCTCACTTCTCAGAGCTCGAAGGTGTTGGCCAAAAAGGAACTGTCTTATGTGCCAGTGATTGGCTGGATGTGGTACTTCCTGGAGATAGTCTTCTGCAAAAGGAAGTGGGAGGAGGACCGAAGCACTGTGGCTCAGAGCCTTCAGAGACTTTGGGATTATCCAGAAAACTACTGGGTAGGTGGTTTTTAAAAGGGAATCTATCTCTCAAACATTGGTTAAAATGTTTAATATTATTGCAGCTTAATGTCTAACACTGTCTTTTACTGGCACAAGTTCCTGCTTCACTGCGAAGGAACACGCTTCACCCCAAAGAAACATCAGATCAGCATGCAAGTGGCGGAGAGCAAAGGTTTACCAAAGCTGAAGTACCATCTTCTGCCAAGAACCAAAGGATTCTGGGTAACTGTCCAAAACCTCAGAGGAACGGGTGAGTTTCCTTCACTTGGCCTGCTTTTAACTTTAGCCCTCAGTAATGAGTGTACTTTGAGCTGTTTTGTGCGGCTTAAGTGAGTCACCAGGCTAACAGCTGCTGTGTGCTCGTCCTGTGCAGTCGCAGCTGTTTATGATTCCACACTCAACTTCAGGAACAAGGAAACACCCTCCCTGCGTGGAATTCTCAACGGGAAGAAATATCATGCAGATTTATATGTGAGGTAGGGAGAGATGTTTTTTTTTTGTGAGGATTACTACAACAGATTACTGTTTCCTGGTGTGATGGATCCTCACATCCCCTGCAGGAGAATTCCACTAGAGTTGATACCTGAGGATGAGGCAGAGTGTGCTGCTTGGCTCCACAAACTTTACCAGGAAAAGGTGAGACAGAGCTGAAGGTTTTTCTCAGTGAGCTGTTTAGTGGACGCCGCAATCTCCTTCAAATCTTCTCTTTCCTCATACTGGTGATGTTTAAACCTGGATGAAGATGTCTAAAGGTGTCTTCCTCTTCAACATGTTGTACATTCTATGATGATAGAAGTCACACATCCTTCAATTAGAAAGCTTACTCATCAGGACAGAGTAAAAGAAAGTCCTCTGGTCATTATTAGGTCTTAAAATTAAAAGAATACTGGCTGAGACTGACAACTGACACATTACAGCAATTATTCTTTTATTATTTGAAGTATATATTTTTTCTAGTTTCAATTTTTTTCAAAGGAACAACAATTGCTCTGATAAAATAGATTAGCAACTTTAAAACATGAGATGCATGTAAAATGTTGACTGGATGAATACTGACTTAAACTTACCTACGCTACTACAAAACCCAGTTGTTGTCTTTTTTTAATACAGGATGGCTTTCAGGAGCAGTATGCACAGACGGGGCGTTTTCCAGGCCCCATAAGGAGTCCTCCACGGCGCCTGTGGTCATTGATCAACTGGTTATTCTGGTCCTGCATTGTCCTCTACCCTCTGTTCTTGCTAGTCACCCATCTAATTAGCTCTGGGTCAATGCTAGCCATCACTACTGCTGCTGTTCTCTGCTCTGCAGGTTGGTTTATCACATTCCTACACCCTGACACATAATGATCCATCTCCACATTTAACCAGATTATTTTGTCCAAACTTTTTCACAAAGCAGCCGTGACACTCCAGTGTAAGTTCATCTTTATTTGGAAAACTTTATTTTATTGTTCAAGCATGTCTGCTTCAGCACTAAGGCATGTGTATACTTAATAAAATTATACAATCATCCATCAGAGTTAAGAAGTAAAAAGAAACATGACTTCTCTACCAGAACGGGATCATGAGGAATGTTTCATTCTCTGCAGTGAAAAAGGGCTCATGTTTGTTGTTAAGGTTGAAATTACAAACCCGGAGACATCAGCCATATTCGACCTATTCTGATGCTAGTATACATCACAAATCTTCAAATACACATTTTCATAAAATGATGCACTCTTTTCCCTCTTTTTCATAGCTTCAGTGGGAGTTCGCTGGATGATTGGTCAGACTGAGATTGATAAAAGCTCAAATTACGGGATTAAGGAAGTTTCCTTGAACAACAACTAAGGAATGTGGACGAAAACTGCTTGTTGGCACAGCTACTGACCTACAACCTACAGGGAGTTAATCGGTGCAACAAGTGCAAACTTGCCTCACGGCACAGACCAGACAGATCTGTTTTATCTTGATGCTACGCTACAGGAGCTGAGACGGAGAAACAGAACTGCAACAAGCAGCATAGTGGTATTGCAAAAACAGAACTCTCCTCTGATCAAAATGGACCAAATAAATCCAAAGGAAGATGATTAAGATAAGATACAGATAATAAACGGCTAACAAAAGAATGTTTATATTTTCTTATGTTTTTCTTCACATATTAAAGCCAGACAAAAAAAAAACAACTCATCCCAAAATATTCTTGTTGTTTTTTTAACAGGACTGCTACACTGTTACATATCAAACACACCTTATCTGTTGACATCACTAGTTGAAAGTAAAAACAGAGTTGACTGTGGCTCCAGTGCTGAATATGAGGGGAAAATGGGTACAAGAAGACAACAGAGACACCTGATGGTGGCAAGAAAATAAGACATGAGCCAGGGCTACGTTGATCATTTATACATATTTTTCCTGCCCATGTTTATTTTTCATTATCCTTACACAAGACCATGTTTTTGCTTCTATTGTTGCAACTCATTTATACATTTTATGAGGCCGTGTGTTATTGCATGAGTTATTAAATTGGTTGATGATCCCACTTATTATATTTTCATGTGTCATATCAAGGTCTGGAGACACCTCACTGAAGATAATAGAAGAAAATCTTCAGGGATCAAAAGCCTTCTCCAGTCAAATAGATTTCCCTCTATGATGAAAGTCCAACATGTGTGTAGTTGTTAAGCTTGTAAGTACTGAATTCTAAAATCCCATATTAGAAAATTCAAAGCGGTATGAGATAAGTGAAAAGACTGAATCATAAGGCTTAAGACTCATGAAGAGTTTTCTATGCAGGTTAATCATTTAACAATTCTACCTCAGTGGTAACTTAGAGTGAACACATTGGTGGATTTTAAAAGCACTACAGTGCCTTAATTTTGTCAATAATGCAATCAAAAATATTCACAGTAATATATTTACCACCTGAGTCTCATGTAATTCCTTATAGTGGTTATGGGTTCATGTTAAATACCTCAGGTGATGATCATTGTCATGATGGTGACAGTTTATTCAAAGCATATTAAAACCTGTGGGATGACACAACAGAGGGGATTCAAAGTTCATGTTTAGAAAAAGAGGAATGCTTTTCTGACTTTTTATTCTAAATGGAAATGCTTCAGTCATTGCACGTCATACACCTTCTACCTCTAAATGGTTAATCTTTAAGAGGGGCTGAGGCGATGTCACACCTTAGGAAAACACCAGGTTAGAGCCAGGGGGGTGTCTGGGTGTGCAAATGTCTTTTCACTAAGTCAGCTGCCAGACATTATGGAGTGTTTTTGTTTTAAACCTTCAATCTTTACTGTGTCTAAGGCAACGTTGGAACCCTACATGAATTCCTATTTCTTGATGCTTTGCTTGGCAGGTTTTAAACATGTCTTACTTTATATCAGACAGATGGCACTGTGTCATTGTTTCTAATTTGGCAGGTTATAAAAAAACATGAGCTTAACAACTTTGAGCTCACATATTCTTCCATATGAACATATTAAAGTGATTTTCACTGCTAATACAAACTGACAACATGTATACTAAACAGGGAACTGATCTATAAAAGGGAAATATTTGCCACTCAAATTAATAGAACACCTACCAGCTGTTGTTCTTCATGTTTGGTGAAATTACAGCTTTTGAGGACTGCATACCCAGACTGACAAAAAACAAAAAAAAAACACTGACTTTGCTTGCAGGACTTATAAATAAGGTTCATTGTGATTTGGATAGCTTAGGTCGATCACAGAAGATGAGGCTGAAGTCTAGGGTTTTATGTCCATTTTTTAAAACAATGTGACATTAATGAAAAACAGAAAAACATAAAACATTTATAACTTCAATTTACTGTAGTGAATGATGTATCTTTTATTAGACCACCATGTTACTGAGTCAAATATGGATTTATTTGTAAAACGATCCATGTAAATCACTTCCTCATTGTGGGGTACTGGCATATGTGTTTATGCAAAATGAAGTATGCTGCAGATGCAAGACATTTTTTTCATGGCTGTATATTCTCTATTTACACAGATAAACTGAGTCCCATGCATGGAAATTAATAACTTTATGCTGTGTCTAAGGTCCTCCACAATTAATGAGTAATTGTCAATGAAATTGGACCATCATAGGAAATGCAGTTTTATTTACATAAAAATGTTCTTAATCTTTTGTGATATTCTATATCCGCGCCCCCCTCGAGTCCTGCAAGGAATCTTAAACTGGCAAACTTATTTAATGGCAAAAAAACATATCAATTGTAAATGCAGAAAAATAGTTTCCACCTCTGTACATTATTCTTAATTCAAAATCAACATGCTCGGTGTGCCATGACAAAGGTGGAACTGTTCAGCTGGAAAAACCTGGTCACTGAGTAGCACAATATTAAGATTATCTAAGAATTCATTTGAATGGTGAAAGAAAATAAAACAAAAAACAGATTTAAAAAAACGATTGGTTTATTAATATTGTTTTTACATAGTAAACACTGTAAGAGCAGCAGAGGACCAAAAGTTGTGGTGTGTGTGAATGTGTGTGCGTTTTGTTGTGGATGTTTGCGCTCAGCAGCAGGAAGGGAGAGTAGGCCCCGTTTCTCCTCTTTAGTTGGCTTCGCTCCAGTCACAAGAACAGCTCTTCACTGATGACCAGTGGAAGTGAACCAAGGTGACCATTTCTTTTCAGCAAAGGCAAAGAAAACTTTCTTTAAAGTCCTTCCATGAGCCTGCACTTGCTGGATGACAGCTGATATATATGTATCTGACTATTTGGATGGTATTTGTTTCATAGGTAATTCAGCGCCTCCTTCCATTCACGGAAACTTACCAAACCTTACCTCAGACAGAATTAAGATTCACCCCTCCTCTACTCAACTGTTCCCTCGGGTAAACAGTTTAAAAGTGCTATAGGTATTCTCCCACCTCCTCCTCCTGTTTGTTAAAAATAAACCAAAGTATTCCTCAATGCCTTTTCAAACATCTCTTCACCAGTGAGAACAAATAAATGTGGCAATAATTACTTAAACTTTACAATATTGTTTATACATGAATTAAAGCCAATCCTATTCTTACAGTATGTACAGTCCCACCCCTGCCCCGCCTTCCCTGGCCCCATGGATACATAAAGACACAACAATTTTATAATCCATAGATCCAGTTGTCCTCTGAAATGATACTGTATTAGTTCCTCAGTTTAACTCCATGTGCCTTTAGCTAAAAACTCCTTCTTCTCCATGTCCACAGTTCGTTTTTCTTTTGCCAACAGCATGTACAGTAGTGCTTCAGTTTGTAAACGTAGAGCCAGAGGTGCCATTCACTCTTCATCTGTGCAAACCTGAAACACACAGACGGCCACGGCTCCAGTGAGAACTCTCAGTCAAACCACTCACGCATAAAAAAAACAGCTTTGAAAACACATGCGTTAAGCATATCACCTTAACAAACGGGTGGTCCAGCAGCATGCTAGCTGTCCAGCGACGTTTAGGTTCACTCTCCAAGCAGTGACCGAGGAAGTCCTTCCCCTCTGTGCTCAGCTTCTCAGGAATCGGAGGTTTGTGGCCCATGCCCACTTTGTACATGATCTGAAAGTTGTGTTCGTACTCGTGCCAAGGCCGCTACAGGTAAAAAAAACAAAAAACAAACAAAAAATGTAATTTCCTGGTGGTTTCTCATTTCTTTGAATAAACAGGCCAATTTCCTCTAGTGGAAAGAAACGACAGCATGCATTTGACACATTAAGGCAGGCAGGTGTAAGCTAAGGTTAATAAAATACCCTTAGCTACCACAACCTTGTTGTATTTAAATAACTGTGGACAAAACTGCAAGAACTTCAACCAGTTTTTAATCTCCGACTAAAAACCAAAAACTAAAAGTGACAGCATCTTCACAATCTCTTCTTACCTTTCCAGTCACCATCTCAATGAGGACGCAGCCCAAGCTCCAGATGTCTGCTGCTCGTCCATGACCCTCCCCCTTCGCTCTTGTAATGACTTCAGGTGCCATGTACGCTGGGAAGGTTTGAAACAGGCAACCAACGATCACATTTTCATCAACGTGAAACTGAACAGCTTTACTGGTATGAGGGTGGGTTCAATCCTATTTTCTTACCGGCTGTTCCCAGCGTGCTGTTCACCTCTCCTGGCATGGTGTGAGTGTTGTTCCTCAACTTGACCGAGCAGCCAAAGTCCCCCAGCTTAATCAGGCCCGATGACGTCAGGAAGATGTTGGCTCCTGTTACAAAAAAAACAAAACGGGACAGAAAAACGAGTTAGCGAACACCGAGAGCTCTCTGACTTCAACGCGCGTCTGTTTTAGAAAAGGAGCCACTGACCCTTGATGTCGCGGTGGACGATGCCGTGCTCGTGCAGCACATTGATGGCCGTGGTGATCTGTTTGCTGTAAAGCCTGATGACATGTTCCTGGAGCCCCAGTCTGGACACCTCCTCCAGAGTGCCCTCGTCGCAGTACTCCATAAAGATGTACATCTCCTCCTGCAGGGGAGCGCAGGCACATTTCTACCACACCGTTTCGGTTTGCAGCTTCTGTTACCTGACGCCGTGCTTCTTTGAGAGCTTCTCACCCGATGGAGCTCCACTCCAAAGTACCGCACCAGGTTTGGGTGCTTAATGCCTTCAAATATTTTCAGCTCATCTGCAGTCTCCTTGATGGTTTTGTGATCATTTGGCTGGAATCGGATCTATCAGAATGCAAGGGGGGGGGGCACAAAAAAACGTGAGCCTGTGCACCTGTTACGCTTTAATGAATAAAGTCAGTAAAACTCTGTAAACTGGGCCTCATACCTCCTTCATTGCCATCAGTTCTCCAGTGTCCACGTTGATGCAGGTGTACACCTTTCCATACTGCCCCTCGCCTAATATGGAGGACACAAAGCATGACGTCGCTATCTGAATGTGTGCTGAATAAAGCTCATTGCAGCCAAAATTGTCAACATCCAGGCGTACCTATCTTGTTGCCCCTCTGCCATTTGAAGGTCACCTTCCTGAGCCCAACATGCATGACATTGTCGTAGGACTTGGGGGTGTGACAAACTTGACCAATGATGTTGCGCTGCTTCATCATTCCGTATCGCTTCTCTTCGAACTTGCGAATGGAGCGGCGGACAGCCTCCATGGGGCTTTGCCGTGCAGCCGTGTCTGCGTAGAAAGAAAAAATAAGTGAGGCCAGATATTGAGTCAGTCGTGCTTTCATGTTGTGCAGTTAGTCGCCTCACCACCTCTGAAACTCACCTTTGGACTGACTGATGAAGGTGCGGAGCTCCCAGCTGCGCCGCGCTGCGCTGTTAGGGTCTCCTTTTGGATACGACGGTTCTGTAGAAAATCAGCCACATGAGGAGAGTCAGGCAGGGACGGCTCTGTCCAACACGTACTCACAGCTTCACAGATCAGCGAGCGCACCCTCTCTGTCCTCGGTGGGGCTGGAGTGGCGGCTCAGGGATTTGAATTGCAATTCTGCAGCAACTGATGACAGGCGGTCATTTTCGTGGAAACTGGATCCCCTGCAAAGACAAAAGAGACTCTACAGCAATAGCATTTAAACACATTTTCTTAAATTCTGCAATAATTAGGAGGAGGAGGCTATTAAACCAATTTTAGCACATAATTCCTCCATGACTAAAATTAGGATCCAAAGGAGGAAAACCCTGATATTTGACAAGAAGCAAGGACTTTGTTAATGTACAGAGTGCCTTTTTAGATCCATTAACAGCCCAGCATGCAGCAATCAGTCACACAAAGTTAGATATCAACAGACCAAGTTTCAATGCAACACACTAATACACCAGAAAAACTAAAAGCAGCAGCTCACAAGCTTCAAAGCAAGAGTGATGTAATTAGCACTAAAAATATGTTTTTGTTTTTTTAAAGAATGCCCTGTTCCACTCTTTCAGCTGGACAGAATTCATTTGCACAACATCCACGCCCACGATGCCTGCCTCTTCCATGAGCCAAAACGGGGATGCAAGCTGCGTTCCTTTAAAAAGGAGCATTTTTCAAGTTCCAACTTCTTTCAAAAACTGGGGACTCAAAATAACATTTGTGAAGTGCACTTTAAAGTTTTATGGATGACATCATTTCCATGCACATCACATCTTAGAGGCACAGTGTAGCAGGTTATGACTTTCAGTCTAGGTAACAGGCCATGCCGTCGATGCAGCATCAAATATTCCATTCTTACATTACATTTTAGGTACAAGCAAAGAGATCCATGATTTTTTTGGTTTGGCAAATAAAGAATAATTCTCTAAACCTAAACGCATGGTGTAAATCTGTGCTGTACCAAAACATTTAAATGCTTTGAAAAGCATTGGTTGATTTTGTATTTGGTCAGCACAGGTCAAACTGCCCCTTTTCCAGTGAATACATTTCAGATCTCAACATGAGGCATTCCCTCCTCTACTTTTTGCAGACGCTTCATATGAAATATGGGTTGCAGGTCTTCAATTTTGGAAATCTTTGGGACAGTTTCTCCTTTGGGCAAGGCTACCTGACGTCACTGGGACTGCTGCTGGGCACTTTGTTGTGGCTTTGCTCCCCTGGGCCCTGAGGGACAGGGCGAGGGCCGTTGGGGAACAGCTGGTTCCGGAGATCACAGGGCAGACTTCGAGAGCTGTGTGGTGAAAAGACAAACTGAGGAGCGCTGGGTTGGGAGGTGAGGTTGGATGGCGTTGGGTGTATGTAAATGTAGGTGTGTGTCACTGGGTGGCTGGTTGAGACACAGACACGCACACTTATTCCACAAACTACGAATATCAAAAGCAATAAAATGAAATGTAACTCAAAGAAAGAGTGACTGCTAATTTAAAGACACATATGCATAAAAGAACTATGCATACACTTCATTTATAAGCAAAAGTAGTGATAGAAATGCAAAGCCATGCAGTGAAGAGAATAACACGTGAAATTCCCAAAGGCACTGATTACCAGAAAAACCTGAAATGTAGTCTCTTACCTGAACCCCTCAGGATTAGGGATGAACAAATTGGGATTTGGTGGGTCACTATGGCAGCGGACAGGGGCAGGGACCTTCACAGGACGAGGACTATTTCTAGGAGCTGGAAAAGATAAGACAAATTTTGAATAAACATTAACTTTGTGCAAAAGGGAAGCTTGTTTTACACTAACACTTGATGTAGTCACTACACAAAATTTCCATTCCACACATTTTTACCTGCACTATAAGAGTGCAATAAATTTTCAGCATTGAAATCAATCCTGAACTTGAGACTTGGTAACCACGAAGGGTTCACTGGACAGTATCTTACCAATGTAGAGGCCAGTAACTGGGCTATGAGGTTTTCCAATCACATGTCCAATACATTCATTCATCAATGCTTGTAAATTCTGCCAGAATAAAATGACAAGTTTAAGAGACAGATCACAAAGGATGGAGGCTTTCTGCACAACTGGTAGAAAAAACAAAACAAAAACAAAAACGAGGGTTTTTACCAGGAAGTCGTCCTCTGGTAAGGCAGAAATGAAGGCAGGTTCAATAGCCTGAAGGAAGTCAAATCCCTGAGTCGCCCATCTGTTAAAGTCAAACACAAGGTTAGCCTCTGCAAAATCTTCAGATAAATATAAAAGAAAGACGTGCAGGGGAAATAAAAATCAATAAAACAGTAGCAGTTATGCTACCAAAATCATAAACAACTACATCACTACATGCCCTTAATTAATGATGGTTTATTCATAAGCACAACTAAGCACATGGTACATGTCATCACGGAAGCTTGTAAGCACTTCTTAAAGAGGAGAAACAGATCGCAGCAGAACATAGTTAAAGACTGTACAAATGTACAATTTATGTGTCATTTTCAGGGGCTGGAATGTAATTAACCAGGAGAAGATGGCCAGATATCATACGCTCTGCAGCTACTTTGTTTCATATAATCTGACAGCAGCTTTTCCTGTCCTCTTTGGTGTCAGACTGAGATCTGGTGACTGTGGTAACTATGGAACTATGGTGGCTTTTAGCTTATTGCTAATCTGTGTCGCGAAGCGCTGTTTGATCAGCTGTGGTGGAAAGGGAGCAGATAGTATGTCTTTGTCCAGAATGCCTTGGGCTGCCTTTTTTCCGTCACATGAGCAAAGCTACCTGACCTAGTGACACTGAAACCTGCATGTCCCCCCGCGGGCTTGCTACCACTTGTGTGTTACTAACCTGAACTGCATGCTGACCAAAGGCCAAACTATAGATTGACCCTCTCCTAATGCACATACAGTCTCATGAATCTGTTTTTGCAACTCGCGAATGAGCCGTTTCAGGTGCACTGAGAACTTTAATCGCACTTAGATGCGATTTCCGACCTGTTTAATTAATTTATAAAGGAATACTTTTTACGAAATCATCTAATTACTTATAGTCCATGGAAATAGTGGAGGCTTTATAACAAACATCCTGTTAAAGCCTTCTTCCTTTTTTGAATGATCAATGTGAATGTTTAATCAGGTGAGGTCTCACCTTGGTTTTGTCCCCCTGCCGCTCTCACATTTGGTCAGGACATAAGTCATCCATTTGCGTGCAAAGGCGATGTAGCGCTCACCGATCCTCTGCCTGAACTCCCCAGACATCAATCGCACCACCTCTTTATGGTACTATTCATTCCAAAAATTGGACAAAAACGGATATATTACAATTAAAGCCACAAAATGTATATGCTATCAAGCTCAATCATTGCAGGCCCCACCTCAAAGGCAAAATTGTAGCCCTGTATCATGGCCTCCCTGTAGTACTGATGCAGAGTGGCTGACTCCGATTCCTCCACCTCTGCTTCAAACTCTGTGGTGAACATATATTCCACCCGGTCGATGGCTGTGCTTATCTTAATGCATAGCTGTAATGCCTTGTTCTATAGGTTGAGAGGAAAATACAGAGGAGGAACAAGGTGAAACAATGTTTTATCATCATTGTCTAATGACACAAATTCTGCAGAGGGTACTTGATGAATACTTAAAATAACACTGATTTAAGCTTTGAATACATGGACTACTTAAGTTCAGTGGCTTCCCTTCAACCACTATCGACAAAAACTGCCCTCAAAGCAGTGAAATATTTCATGTTATGTTAGAATGGAAACATCTGAGATAATAATAACAGCAGCAGTAAAATCAGATCTGAAAGTAGGGCAGATATCTGTCTGAGCAGCAGTGGAGCATGTGGTTATGTAAGTACCTTGAGATCCTCCAGTGCGCTCGCAATGAGAGGCTGACTAGATGTTTGCTCCCGGCTAAGGGTGAGCACATCCTCCATGGACTGCTGAAAAGCCTTTCTCTGAGCCACCAGGTGAGCTGACTGCATCACGATCAACAGCATGTTCTCCACCTGACAGCCACATTAGACCAGACACAGATTTACAAATGCACACAAAACATAATATACCTTTTTTAAAAAGAGCAATAGCAAGACATTCCACACCTCCATGGCCCTTAAAGTGTCAACAGTTTCCATTTGTGGGACCAGTTTGAGCAGCTCCCCATCCCACTGAGCCCACTCAGAATCAGCAGTGGGATTGCCTGCTTTGTGCTTGCTAATGAGCAGGTAGGCATCATCCTCAGCAATTTCATCAGGCTCTTTGGAACAATCTTTGCCAGCGGCAGCATTAAGAAGCTGTAGGATTAGAGCCCGCTGATCCTTTAGGCTAAAAGGCACAAAAACTTGGAGCTCATCCAGGCCTGGAATCTGAACCTGGAAGTAAAAGAAAGAGATGATGTAGTTGCATGAAAGACCTGAGGACAAAGAAGGAAGTAAGGACATGACACAAAAGAAAAGAAAAAAAACACATGAAATAAAGCACACCTTGACATAGTTTCTCTTTTTCAGAGCCTCCAGGAGACAGGTCACCCCACTGGTGATGCTGAAATCTGCAGCAACTTCCAAGTCCTGCAGAGAGGTACACAAACAGGTTGTCTCAAAGCGCACAGTCCCAGTTCCTCCATGAGCAGAGAAAACAGGTCAGAGATAAGCTGCAAAGCTGGTACAGCTGTGGCTTTCTGTTTCAAGAGGGGAAAAAAAGAGAACGTCCCCGATTCCCCTCACCTTGCGGAGCATTTTAGCAAACCCAAGGGCCTTGGACGCCCGCTCCCTGGCCTCATGGAACAACTCTTTTAGTGACCGGCTGGTCTCGATGACTGAGCGCCTGCAAAAGTTCAAAAGACTCAAAGTTAAAGTCACCACAAGTGGGACAAAAGAAGGTCAGCGCCACCTTTTGTTCTCCGTCATCTGCATACCTGATCTCGTCTGAGGCTGTGCTGTCATCCGCACATTCCCAGAATTTTTTACCACTTTTTTGCAGACCAGCATCCAGAAACTCTCCAGTGGACTCCAGCAGCATCCCAGCAATGTTGCTGCAAACACAAGAATGCACTTTAGTTTCATTAAAATAATTAAATGACAAATATGGTTCTTTATGACAGTTGAAACCTGAAATGTGGCCTGAAGAAGCCCAAATTTACATTTAAAGTAATGTATAAGTGCACCATCCCAACAATATACGTATACTTATAATTGATCTAAAAGTATTTTGAAACCTGTGTGAAGAATGGATTTAAAAAAGAGCCAGAAGAGTAGATTAGGTCATCTCCAACCTTGAAACTTGCATTGCAAAAAATAGGTTAACTACTGTACTTATCGGTTGATATACCACATATTTTACTGATGACATTATAACCTGAATGCCTATTTTCAAGCCTCCTTCAAAATTGTCATTTTCATTTAGCAAATGTTTTAGTCCTGCTTGTAAATAATGAGGCTGGGTATACCTCTCGTACCGACTGCACCATGTCAGTGAGGTAGGAGGCGTGTTAACGTGTGGAAAGCTCTCATGCTTCCTTTACAGTGGAAACGACGGTGAAACTTTCATTGCATGCAAATAACATAAACAGTTGCCAAATGAAGGCTTAGCGTTGGGAAGCTTAAGGACTGAAGGGTGAGTGATCTGTTGTTTTTTTTTTTACAGCCAACGAGGTAATGGTTCAGACAGTACACAGTCCACTGTGTGGACCCAGTGTTCCTGGAAGGGAAATACTGATGTGTCAGCATGCACGGTAAGCTTTCTTTTTTCATTTTTAGACTTTCCCACCTCTGCTGGGCTGCTGTTAGGTCACATCCTGAGCACAAACTACACGATTTTCAGGTACACTCACCAGAAAAGTTCCCCTGACTGGGCCTCCCCTCCTCGGATGTAAGGAGTTATAACCTTAGTGAATTGCCATTCTTCCTCCAACAGGTTCTTTAAGCTGTGAGAGGCCTGAGGCAGCTGCTGCAGCATTTTTATCCAACTGTGCATGTACTCAAAGTAAACCTACAAAACACCAGAAAATGTTCTTTATGCAAAACCTGAGGGTAAAGACTCCAGGTTAAAATGGCTTCAGCACTTTGCATGTTTGTTCTAAGAAGAGTGACGGTTGAGTCTCACCACCAGCATCTTGTGAAGGTCTTCTTCAAACTCATCAATATTGGCATTTGTTTGTAGGCCTTGAGCATCAGTCACCACTCCACGCAGCATGAACTGGTAGTACAGCTTCATCAGAAGGCCTCCCTTCAGAACCTCCTTACACTCACGCACCAGCTGCAGAGCACAGGTCATAGATGTGAGAAAGTGTACATTCTACACTGTTCAAGGGCTGAAATTTGACCAGGTTACTAGTCTCAGATCACACAATAAAAAGGAAGGATTTCATCTGCTCCCTGCCTGTTTGATGCTGAGCAGTGAGGGGTCTCCAGCAGGCCTCTGTTCAAGTCGCAGTTTAAGGCATTCGTGAATGACGTTGAGAAGAACTCTGCAAAGCACGAGGAATGCCGGCCGAAATGATGGGAGATCCATGTCCAGCAAATCCTCCCAAGACACCTGGTCTGCTCCTAGTTCTGGATCGGCCGCTCCGCTGCAGGATGCGTGGCGCGCCAGCTCGGGCAGGTAGTCGCTGTACAGCAGGGGGTCCGGAAAGTCTGCAAACTGCAGAGAACCAGAGGAACACTGAAGTTGCATGTCAAATTTATCATGGGACAATTTCTTTCACTAACAGAGCCAAGATCTGATTTAAACACTCCAAATTGTCCTTTAAAGACAAGGAAACAACATTTATCTTTTCAATGGCTTCAACCTTTGTACCACCTTCAATTTGACCAACTGTTGATTGCAGATGAATAATGAAAACACTTAGTCTTTATATCTGATTTTGAGAATTGAAATATGTTTGAACAGAAATCAGCACAATAGAGTGAAAAGCTTTACATTGCTAGAGCATGCTAAATACTCATGTGGAGCTGTTTAGAACACTGCATCCACTCTAAGTGGGCCCATTGTACCTCCAGTGCGGGAGTGTGTCGGAGCAGCGCTGCTCGGGCCCTCTGAAGAGAGCGGTCCATCAGTTTGTGCAGTCTGAGGATCAGTTTACGCAGTCCCATCTGTTTCAGAGCTTTATCCACAAATGGTCTGTAAATGGCTGTGGGCCAGAATACTTCTCCTCCCACAGTCACTTCAGGGTTCCCCAAAGTCGCCGTTGGGAGAAACTCATCCTCTGACAACAATCGAGCAACTTTAGGAGTCAGGGTGGGAGACAAGTCTTCCTCTGCTACAAGTCCAACTTCCTCGTCTTCGACAGAATCTCTGTCCTCTTCGTCACTTTCAGCTGTGAAAGTGGCTGTTGAGCCGTTCTCTTCATCGTCCTCGTTTTCCTCTTCTTCATTCCCACGGGAGCAGCGAGGTGACGGTATCTCAAACACGGGCCACCCGATGCGGGACAGATCATGGAGGCCCAGCACAGTGGCCATGACGCGCAGCTTCTGGTTGAGATCTTGAGTGATATTGAGCCACAGACAGAGTGCCTGCACCCTGCCCTGGAAGTCCCGGGCTGCGTACTTTTCATAGTCCTTCTGTAGGGCCTGCAAAGAGGGATACAAAGCTTCAACCGACTCCAAAAGTTCCATCACCCGCTTGACCTGCTCGAAGGCCAGCTGCTGGCGCTGGAGGTGTTCCCTGCAATCAGCGCCCGAACCCAGAGGCTCTGCGGCGTTCACGGCAGAGGAGACGCAGGCGCTGAAGCCCCAGGGATCCACTCCACAGTGGTTGGTCTCTGCTACAGCAAGGGGCCCCCTCTCTTCACAGGCAGATCCCGGAGCAGCCGTGCAGTCCTGCTGGACTGTTTGAGACTCTGAGCACTGAGCCCCTCTCAGAGCGTCATAGTTGACCTTAAAGTGCAGCACCTCATTGATAATATCAGGAATAGCTTGGCGAGCTGTGAAAAGAAAAACGTCTTGGTCACTGGTGGAGCGCCGTGCATGCCACGCCTGCAGCTCCAACCAAATGACCTCATTGTTGTGACCCATAAAGGCCATGTTCTCCAATCCTCTCTGCTCCTTCTCCTTCCTCTTGGAGGACATAGACGTGAGCTTGAGCAGGAGTCGGAGAGTCTCAAAGAACTTGAGGCGGTCAGCTGGACAGTCTGTCCTGGAGGTCTGCCGGTGGGTGCGGGCCATATGGGGCACAGTCACAGGAAGCTTACAGCTGCTGCAGCCTAAGCTTAAGTAATGCTTCCTTGGATCCATGCTGATAGCACTGAAATGGCTTGACTTTGAGAGTGGATCCAGCATGAAAGTTCCTGCTTCAGCATGAAAGGTCTTCTTCTGGTCTCTCTGGGTAGAACGCTGGGTGGTCCTCTGCTTCTTGCCCTGCTTATAGCTGTTTTCCTCAAGGTTCTCTACTGGTTTGGGAGTCTCCTTCTGGACAGATGGGCTGAGGTCTGCTGACACAAGACTCAAAATCAGAGCACTGCAATACTCCCACATCCTGGTCTGTGTAATTGATCTATTGGTTTACCCTTGTTTGGAGACCGACCAGCGTTCCGAGATTGGCTGCTCTTTTGATGTTTGCCCGACATACGCTTTATCTGCCGGGGGTTATGAGGAGGTGATGTGCCATACAGAGACTCTCCTTCTTCGATGGGAGAGTCCCAGAATTCATCCAGCTCAAGGTTTTGTGGAGATGCATCTCTCGCTGGCTTGGCCTGCCTGCCATAAAAGACACACACACAAGTTAGTTAGAATGGGACAGATTTTTACATTTACTGGCAACAGCGAGCCTGACAAGGTTCTAAATTCTAAGACCTTCAGTTATCTAAAAAGTGATGACACTTAAGAAGCGGCAAGAGGTGCTGGGTTGCTGCTTAGAGCAGAGAACAGAAAACCTTAGGTTGGCATACAGCAAATACACCTAATGCCTGAATGATGAGTCATCTGTCCTTTGGTGTCTCACAAAATGTATGGCAGCAGCACCCAGAGTATGACCAAAGCTGCCCACAGGCAGCATAATAACATGTGGTAAAGATAATAGCTCAACCAGAGGGGGAGCCATCATCTCCCTCATTAACTATGACTATGACTGTCAAATCATCAACCACATTGCACCCGGAGCGCTCTGTCACCTCTCAGCGCTGAAACTGTGAGACCGACAGAAACCGAAAAAAGTCCAAGCAACAACGCCAGCGTCATGAGGCCATCGTGAAGCTGCAGCACCAATAAGGATGTGGACGTGACAAGAACCTCACAACGTGATGGCAGGGCTGTGCATTTCAGAAATCGACCAGAGCGGCTATGTGCAGCTCTGCGAAAAGGAAACATTACAATCACATGAAAGACTTCCTTCTGGGAAAAAAAAAGCGAAAAGGGAGAAAAGAAAACAAAGGCTGCAGGAGGCACGCCTTTCCAGATTACGATGTCAAGAGCTCTGTTCCCTAATGCCTGTCTGAGGGGTTTTTAATAGGATTAGAGGGAGAGGTTGGACAGTCTGACCCTGCCGAAGACGAGAGCAAAAACAAAGGGAGGGGGAGAGAAGTGGGTGATACTTATGCTGGACACCATGAGTCGCCCCCATCGATCATCTGACTGAAAGGCATTCCCCAACACGTGCCTGTTAACGTTTGCAGACAGAGCTGAAAGGAGCAGGGCAGCATCATTTTCCCCAGGGAGAGCCGGTGTTAAGGGTGGGGGCTTCATCTGGAAGTCAGTTGCTAAAGCTTTTGAAAAAGCCACAAAGAGAGTCTCAAATGTATTGCCCATCTGCCCCAAAACACATTCTGACATCCCCCCCCCCAGCTGTGGCTGTAGAACAGCACCTAACAGACACCTGCTGCCAGGAGTGCACGTGCACATTGGCGTGCACAGACTTTAGGAGCATTAGTAGTTTTAAGGTCTTGCTAATTTCTTGCCTGCTTCACCCAATATTTGTACAAATACTTTGCCATGGTTTTCACTATTGTGCAAGTTTACATCTGCAAGTGAGTATGATCAGACCCTTCTTGAATTTAAGTTTTGTTTCTTTGAGCTTTAACACATTTTACCTCTGAACTCAACAGCCATACCGACAGCATGACCAATTAACCACGACAGACATGAAACACAATCAACCCCTGCATTTAACACATACTGCTTTCATTAAAAGCTTATTATGAGAAATTGTAAAGCTGCTGGTTCTGCAAGAGAAGGATATAACAGAGTCCTTTTCAGTATGGAGGCACAAGAGGGCCCAGTAAGCTATTATGCACGCTACAATGAAGCATTAATCAGCACAACTGACAAAAACGCACTGGTTTTGCAGTGAAAAACAAAAAAAGTCTTGTGGAGGAAAATGTCCAAGAAGAACCTTACTCCTGTTGCAAACCGTTTCCAAAAGGTGCTTTGCAAACAAGCACTCACTGCAATCAGATACCACAAACATATGTAAACATTCTTATGCACGCATGGCTGTGGGGCATCTCAGGACAGAAATAGTACATGCGTACCAGAAAGAACAAGTTTTAAAAAGACACATGCCCATGCAGAGCAGCATGACTAAATCGCACTGGCATGAAAGCGGATGCAATGACGTCATCACAGCAGATTGTTTGTTAGGTTACCATGGAACATTTCAAGCCATTCGTGCAGTCGCAGAAAGGGCTGTGCAATTTCAAAAGAAAATTCATCTGGATTCTTTGTCCTTGTGTCTGGTACACCTACACACATATGTCAGGAAGAAAAGTTACTGGCCTGTGTGTCCTGAAATTAGCCACAGCCACATTATGGCCCCTCAAGCTGCCCCTGCTGGCTGCCACTAGTGAATTATCACTGCAGATGGTGTCTGGTTGCTCTCAATGGCTCATCTGATGGCTCATTGGGGGTCCAATAAAGGCCAGTGGAATGCTCGAGCCCCCAGGCAGCAACGCTGAGCGAATAATAAACAGCACAAAATCGAAAGTCTTTTCTGTAGAGCGACTGAGGCAGTGCTACCAAGGGCTGCCAGAGTCAGGGGGGCCTGACCTTTGACACCACCCATCCACACTATTGTACCAGCATGCGGCAATCTTTTGTATACTGGTGACACGTGGCCTGTGAGGCCCACAGCTGAATACCACACAGCTGGTTAGTGAGCACACTTGCTCACAATACCCAAACTAAAGAGGATTTTTTCCTTTTTTTTTAGGCGAGGAAAAGGAGGAGAAGGTGACGAAGGTTTTGTGAGAGCACACTTTTGTGTAATTAGGTCACGCTGGCACCACGGAGGAGCCTCTGTAAGCCAAATGCATACTTGATTACCCCCCCACTGTAAAAACTATGTGCCCTGCTGGCAACAAATGTCAGCCATTGGATTTTTTTTTTTAATGCATTTGCAAAACATGTGCATGTGCTTCTATCTGATATGTTCAACTATTCGAATCCCTGGCCTACAGTCCAAAAGGCACAGATCAGTTTTTGGATCACGGGCTGACAGAATACTGAAACAATGAACATAAAGTACTTGACCACACCCATGAATGGGAACACTGTGACACTGGCAGGATTGGACAGCCGGGCCTCTTCAGAATGCCACTGTGCAAAACATGCAACAGACAGGTTTGCCTCTGCAAGATATCAGAGTTTAGATTATGCAGGCAGACTCCTTAACTATGTTACACTACTGTGTTTACTAGCTATCTTTACAAACTACTAAAACTTGGAACATAACAGGTCTATGAAAAGCCCCAGACCCTACTGTACCAGTGCAGGATCAGGCTACACATCACATGACATTAATGAAGACAAACCCTGCTGTACCCTTGCACCAGTTAAATGGCAAATGGTGCAGATTCACCTGATGCCTTTGGCATCATAAATGCAATAAGAGTAGCGGTCTGCTCTGCCTTTGAAACTCAATCTGAAACTGTGGAGTCATAAGGAACACTTTATTCAGTTTCAAAATGCACTTTCCTTTGCAGCAGTGCTGGTTACACAGGCCAAAGATGCAGTTCTGCAGGACTAAATCGCCTTTTATTTGTCTCTTTATTACAAACCATTTTCCGCAATCTTGGCGCCGTGAGTGGCTACCAATTAGTCGTAACAAAGATCCCATTGTTTCAAAGGAAATGGCAGATGAGTGAGACAGAAGGTGAGAGCATGAGTTTCTCCGTCTAAAGCAGGTGTGGGCAGAGATCGGAAGCAGTTAGGAAACGCTAGCAGACAGTCCATCTGTATTCTACAGCCTGTGATGCAAGAAAATGCAGGGATTAATGAGATGTACCCAGCGAGTGCCTCCAGGCCAACAGGCAGAAAGCTACTGCACACAGTGCACCACATCCTGAAATCTCTGGAATGCCTGTGAGCCACAATGTCTTCAGACTGACTCTGAAAATGAGGCATTATTGACAAAGGACCTCTGTACTTGCATAGATAGAGATGGCCTTCATTTGCAAAGAGAGCACACAGCTCATCTTTCTCATGAAAACTTGCAAACACTTTGAATCAACCTAACTCACACAAGTTACTGAGCTGGTTGGGATTTATTTTTGCAAACTGTGAGGCTCCTCACTTCTGTCTCAAATCGACTGCAGAGGTCTGCGACAAAGCCTGCCACAAATCTGCTATCTTATCACCAGAAAAGAAAAAAAGGAAATTCTCGAGCTGGGAACGAGTGTACCTCTGCAAAGAATGAATTTGATCCTTGCATAGGGCGAGCAGCAGAATCACAACCCAAACTTCTTAACCCCAAACACGAGCATGAAATGAGTCAAATCGTGAGCGACGGACGCGTATTCTTCCTCCAACCGTGTCGGCCAGCTCTAACATTAACAGGGCTGCAATTGCACAATCATGCAAGCTGTTTATGTATCCTCTTCGACTGAGTGGCCGCAAGAGGTAATAACAACTGGTAACAACTAACAAAAAAGGCCGGCTATTTGCTAAAAACCAGGATTATCGTGAATGGCGAAACCTGATCCATCGTGATAAAAGCCCTCAGAGCTGCTCGCTCTGCAGACAAGTGATTTTCTAGAGTAGAGGGAAAGACAAAACAGAAGATTCCTGAGGGTCTGTCGCCAGCAGTCAGGGTTAAACTCTGCAGCGTTTCCATTATGCGATGCGCATTTGCAGATATACTTACAAACTATTTGGAATGCCTGCACGGCTTCTCTCGTGAGAATGCAGAAATGTTAAACAACTTTGAAATCAGAGCAATGCAAACACGTTGCAGAGCAACCAGACCTCGGCTGCTGCGCATACTTGCAACATTTCGTCATCTAAGCGAAAGCAGCTATGACCGGAATGTTGAAAAAAAAAAATGCACAAACGTGTAAATGCCTCAAAGTGCAATGAACATCTCGACCATCATCATCTCTGTCCGAAGGATTAACTGCAACCGTGGAGCAACAAGCTAGCTAAAAAGCTGCGAAGTTTGTGGGTCGCTGTTAGGATGAAATGCACCAACTGGAAAAGCTTAAATAAGTGCAAACATACCTCTACATCCACCTCAGGAGGCCACTTTTGCAGAACTAGCCTACGGGTCAGCTCCGTCGGTCTGTGTTAGCGAACTCGCGAGTGAACAATAAACTGACAAGCGACTGCTACGAGGAGATGTTAGCTAGCTGTCCCCTGACATGTTGCACTGTTGCAGCGGGTCGCCACTATTTGTTCTCTTACCTTATCATTAAGATAGCATGATGCCCTTCCCTCTAAATACTTCCAATAAGTCAGGAATTGAACATGTATGGTAAAATACACTCGAAATTGTTGCCTCAAAAAAAGTTTACAACTCCACTCTTGCAAATGCATTAACTGCACGCGAGCCACTATTTGACAGGAAGTTGATTTCCGAGGGGTGCGCAAGCGTTCCCATAGAGTCGAATGCAGCTCCCTATTTAGCAAAGCGAGGTCCTGATGGTGAAGCGACTGTTCAACAGATTCGCATACCTGCTGGGCTTGTTGCGATCCGGAGGCTCCATAGCAGAACAGCGGCTTCGTATTCCTAGCCGTGCATGGGCTGAACCATGTCTAAGCGATATCAGACTGACTTTGCACTGGTAAACCTTTGCAAAGCTGGGGGATATTTGTCTCTTTTAAGCACTTTCTATCCGCCGGCACAGTCAACTATAGCTTGTGCGTATGCCGTCGCCATCTTTCCAACGTTCATTGAGGAGGAGTGCCTCAGCTTTTCATTACTACGGCAACCCGAACAGGTCATCTCTCCTGTCATCGCTGAGCAGCGCCTGTTTTTGTCACCGGGGCGCGAACAGTCACAATGAATCACTTATTTGACGGGTGGAATAGTAGCTGGTTATGCATTTCAGCGTTGAAAAAAGCGTTAAAAATAACTGTTTTTGTGTCACTTTAATTCTATTCATTCTTCATGTGGGTGTTTGTGGTCTGGTTGCAAAAGGTGAGGAGTCAAAGGGAATTTGAGTGTACGTGATACTCATCATCCTGAGGAAGGTTTATTTCTATATATGTACTGTAAAAAGCTGCAGAAACTCTATAGTCTGCTGTGACAAACTGACGATGTGTTATTTTTGGTCATCCTGGAAAAAAACACTGATGGAATAAATTTACTGAGCTACATAATGTTCTCATGACTGTTGATTTCTTTTAATTCATGTCTCTGTGCTGTATTCAATGTAATCTGGTGAGTCATACATTGAAAGAACCACACCTTTTTGGAAAAAAGTTTGACAATATGAACTAGACTTTTTGGAAGTACTGGGAACCATCTGTTTTTCTGTTTTAAATGGCGACAGTTATCATCACAGAGGCTTTAAGGGCCTCACAGCACAACCACATTTTCTAAAACACAACATATAGCTGATTCCCCACCTTCAACAAGGTGCTTCTATGGCATTATTTGTTGTCACCAGAATTATATTTCCATCATAACCTCACTGTCACACATGAAGCACCCATTTTTCTTTGTATGTTTTCTGTATTATATTGCAGGTTAACTGAACTTTGGCATCAACAAAACTGATTCGAATGTAGACATTTTTGTTATTTGACTCATACAGACTAACACATGCTATATATATATCTCAGAGTAGCCCCTGAGTCATATTAGTTTAAAAACAAGATTTCATGCTTCATATAGTCCATATGGGTCCAATTTAAGTCCTTCACTGAACAATGCAGTTTTCTGAAACGAGTATTGGATTACCCTTCTGTCTCACTCTTTTGCCCCTGTACAAATGTCTGCCTACATTATGTAACTGCTTTATAGCTATTGAGGCAGGATATTCACTTTGATATTAATATTGGTTGCTCTTAATTTATTGAAAGGATATTGCCATGTTTACAGCTGCTTTCAAGTGCCACTAAAAATGCACTATCAGCTATACTAGCAGTACCACATTTCATGTTACATTCAACACAAATGTTTTTTTCCTTATGTTTCTGGTACTAGTCGTTTTTTCAAGCTGTCTTGACTGCAAAGAATCTGACGCCTTGACCAAGTCAGCATAATCAAATAAATGACTTTGAGTTCGTCTGACCTTTGAAGAAGCAGTTAAAAAACAATCAGAAGCTGCTGAAAGAGATACATAGCAAGCCTTTTTATCTTTAGGAAATTAAAGCTATCACACAGAGTAGGTGGATCTAAACCTTTTCAGTTTTTGCCATTTGTTTTAAATATGCCTTGACGGAGGTAGTGATAAAAAAATCAAACTGTAGAGGGCAGTCTGTCTTGTTGTCCATCTCTATTCAAGAAACTCTGATGGTATCACCCTTTTCATGCTCTTTTCAAATTCCAAACACTACTGAATAACAGTAATTAATTAAAGAGGGCAGGCAAAACTTACACAGTCAGCCCATCTGCCGGAGAGGAGTGTGGTACTTCAGAGGGGCCTGTCAAATATAGTTGTGCTCAGAAAATGTTTTACTTCAACTTGCTGACATCTTTTAAATATGTTTCCCAATTAATAAATATTAGCAGGGAAGAAATGAAGCATCAAGGCAGGCCAACATCAACAACAAAAGAGAACTGAGCTTCCATTTGCTCGGCTGTTGGAAATGCAGATGCTCTGTGCTGCTTTGATGAGGCACCAGGTGGTACTGTTGGACTCAAGCTGCTGCAGTCAATTCTGATGAGCTTCAGCCACACCAGCACTACCAGGCCTAAATGGGACCATTTTGAGGCTGCACAGAGCACTGTCCAATTAATGTCTGATGATGCAAGTCTGGATGAGAATTTGAGACTGTAAGAGCAAAATCAAATGATGCTCATATGGCCTCTGCCTCAAAAGAAGCTTTGTCCACCCACATCAGCTGAAGCTGACCAGTAAGGTGGCTTTTCAGCCTGTGGGGGATCAGCCAGCATGTCCTGTGCTGCACTTCTCACCACCTAGATGCTGCATGATAATTTAGCTGACACAGCTGAAACTGGAACTGACAATGGGGGTCAAGCATCAGTGAAAGGTGTGATGACTGACCTTACTGACTCAGTTGAAACCCACAAGTATAAAGTTAACACTTTCACTGCTGTTGACACAACTAAGAGCAGCAGCTGTAAGGGTGGTAGTAAAGCTATGCACAGTAGAAACAGGTTCAGTGGACTTTTCTGCAGGTTATTTAAAGCTCTGATGGTGTTGTGTAGACATTGTGGAATGCATCTGTGCAGTCATCCCCTAATTCACAATTGATTAAACAAATATCAGATTAACTAAATGTAGTACTTTTAGCAGCAGTACTATGTGAAAGTATAGGCGTTCATGTCAAGATTTCTTTTAGGGGTTAAAAAATGTTTGACTTTGACTAATTTAAAATGGAACTTTTAAAAGTCAGATGTTATAGTGGAAGAACACGTCAATCTTTTTAAATGTATGCTGTTTTAAGGTATTCTAGAACAGATTTATTTTTTCATTTATGTGTAAATTATTTATCTTTAATGGTTTATCTGGCAAACGTGTATGAAACATTTAGATTTAGCTGCTGTTTCTTAAAATGCATCCTTCTAAAAGGTTTCACAGACCCAGTTTGGTTTGCTGAGGAGTTACAAATGTTAGAGTTTATGAGATCTCTTCACTGAACTTCAGACAAGCCTTTAAAAAAATGCATATCTAAAAAAAAGTGTATTAAAACATTTATATCTACTTCTTTCACATGTCGATCGATGGATGTATTAATATATCTCAATACAGGTTGGAAAATGCATTTCCCAGGGCAATAAAAGCTTAGTTGACGAGAAAAGCAAACAAACAGTGTCATGGACTGACTGGCAAAGGCCCATATCAAATTGTTATAAAACTTTGCGGAACAGGCTCAGCTTTGTTTACTTTAGTCCTTTTTGCCACTACACCCACCTTAAATTATGTATGTAAGCATATAAGCAATATCCTTTTGGTGAGATACATTCATTTTGCATGCAGGTGTAAATGTGACCACAAATCATGTTAATACTAAACATGTTAAAGCAATAATAACTAGTCTATTAAGAGTAATTTGCTCATTAGTGTCCTGGATCGCAACTATTTCATTTTAAAGAACACCGCTCCATTTCCTGACAGTTCTATGCACTCAATACATTTTTACGTGGCCAACTAGGATATATAATATCCAGCCCACTACACACCGTTTCCTTTCATGAAAGCTTTGTGACGTTTTTCTTTTGTTTTTATTGGAAACCATGGAACATTGAAACAGGCCAAACGACTTGGTGAAAAGGTATTACGTCACTCGAGCTTTGTCTCTGCCACATCTTCTGCTGCCTTCACGGGCATGTTTAACTCGGAAATACGAAACATCCGTTCTGAGTTCGCGGGGTTCTGGCTTAAAAAATAGAGCAGTAAAGATGATCACAGATCCAAATAGATAGAACACATCAATTTATTTTTTGTTACCTGTGTGTACATTTTGTGTGAGTTTGTTAGCATGGCATCGCGAACGCCAGTTTCTGTTCACAAAATGATCGACGCGTAGGTTAGGTATAATTGATCCTATTGTAGTTGGAGTATGTCCTATTATACACGAAAGCCTCATGAGCGACAGCAGGTTTCGCGGAGGGGAAGATGATACATCAGCTGAGCTTTGTCTTCAACGACATTCTTGTTTCGGTCCTACAGTAGGGCATTTTTCATTAGTATAATAAGTGAGGCAGTTTATATGATAACATTCCGTTTTTCGTCTCACCAACGTAAAGCTGCAACGTAGCCTAGTAACGAGGCGATACATCTCTTGAAAATGCTTCAGTCACTAGCTAGTAATTCATGTGTGCGTTTGATACAGAGTCACAAATCGATGTGGTACTTTGTGTGTCTGGTTTTGGGCTATCTCCTTTATCTTATATTCGGCGCCGTCGTCTTCTCGTCGGTGGAGCTGCCATATGAAGACCTCCTGCGGCAGGAGCTGAGAGCTATCAAAAAACAGTTCCTCCAGGAGAACGGCTGCCTCTCCGAGGAGCGGCTCGAGAGGTTTCTGAAGAAAGCCCTGGAGGCCAACACTTATGGGGTTTCTATCCTCAACAACGCCTCAGCCAACTGGAACTGGGATTTCACCGCTTCGCTGTTTTTTGCCAGCACGGTGCTGTCCACCACAGGTAGGTCATCGCTTCTGCGAGCAGGTGCACCACATGACACCGAATGTAGGTCTATGTGAAACCCAGCCAGCTCTCACACACATCCTTACCTGTTCTGTGTTATTTTGAATGACTTACTGTGCTCTGCAAGCACGTGGCCTAACCACCATTCAGCATTCTCAAATTGCTTATTAAATCATCACTTTTATGTCTATTTTTTGTCATACTCGACGTGTACAGTACATTCTAGGCAGAGGTAGGCTTCAGCTATTGGCGGGGACAGATGCACACTTCCACACGGTGCTCAGCCTGAGCATCTCTTCCGTCTTCCTCTGGTTCTGCTATTGTAATACTGTAGCTACATTTTGAGAGCTTTGCATAACCGTGTTGTCTTTCATTTCCTTTTATTTTCCATTGCACAGAAGCGTGCAGCTCTCTGATCCCTGTTAGTCAGGTTGCCCGGAGAGCCTGTGTCTTACCACATGGCAGCAATTATCTGTGAGGTTGCAACATACATCTGACTTTGTGTGTTGCATTACACTTTATCTGGACTGACATCCAGATTAGATGGAACTGACTTTCTGTTGCAGATATTTTAAAAATCTGAACTCATTGGCACTAATGAACTTTGGACTCAAGTTCTGTACTATTCATGACGGTCAGACACACCTAAATCTTTTCTTTTACCTTTGCAGCAAAGTGTTATGTCAGAGAAGTTGCAAAATTAATTCCCAGTCATGATATCTCTGACTTTAATCCTCACCAGTCTCCGAAAAGGGTTGGGCCAAGGCTGAAGCCCTGTTTTTGTCAGCCTCTCAAACGAAGGTATTACAAGTTGAGAAGAATACAGGCTGAAGTTTATTTGTTTTTTTTCCCTCCCAAATCACACCACTTATACACAGTTTAATCATTGTCACACCCATGTTAATGGCCAGTGAAATGTTTAACGTTCTTGCTGGTTGTAGTTCACAAGAGCCTGTCGGGTATTTAAGTCATGCTTTCTCTATGTGGTGTCACATACAGCCGTTCTCACCTCAGCCTCAGCCTGTCTGTAGCTGCTTTGCTAAAGCCTGGAACCTCCTCATTGCACTGTATTGTTTCAAATGGCACTGAAATGTATGACTGCCTGGCTATGTCTTTTTTTAGTGTCACAGTCAGACTTTAGACAGAACACTGCTCAGTGTAAATTCACATTGAGACTTTCAGCCTTTTAAATGATTCTAATAGCATAGGGATGTTTCCTTTTGACACAATCGGTGGTTGTTTGATATATATATATATATAGTTCAGTTTTTTAAACCCATTCAATTTTTTCATGTTGTCATTTTCTCAGTTAATTTGATTACATTTCAAAGCATTAACAAATTTATACACAATTATATGAAAAGTGTAAGTCGTGATGTGACAAACAAAGTCTGGAGCAGCAGTGGTATCTTTGAGGGCATGTCGGGCTTTTATCAACATTCCCAGTAATACTTGGAGTTGCCCTTGCTTTAGAAGTTGAAAGTTATGATAAAAGTGTCCATTAATTTGGTAAAATGCTTTGCCTTTATTTAGCCTATGTTGATAATGCTTCATACCCACCACATCAAGATGTCTAGAAAAACCTGACAAAGTATGTGAACAGTGCACGCCTGAGGAGGAAACACACTGCTATAAAGCGGCAGGGCGATGGGAGGCGTTAAGCTTTCATTTCCCTCTGTTCCGGGAGCAGTTCTTGTAACTCAAACAGTTTCTGTTCACTGTTTTTGTTTCCCAAAAGGATATGGACACACAGCGCCCCTGTCAGACGGCGGTAAGGCCTTCTGCATTATTTACTCCGTGATTGGAATCCCCTTCACCCTCCTCTTCCTCACTGCGGTGGTGCAGCGGATCATGGTGTTCAGCACGCGGAGGCCCATCGTGTACATCCACACACGCTGGGGTTTCTCCAAACCACTGGTGGCCATTGTTCACGCCACTGTGCTGGGCATATTGGCCGTCTCCTGCTTCTTTCTCATCCCTTCCGCCATCTTCTCGGCACTGGAGGAGAACTGGAACTTCCTGGAATCCTTTTACTTCTGCTTCATTTCTCTCAGCACCATTGGCCTGGGTGACTACGTACCTGGAGAGGCCGCTAATCAGAAATTCAGAGAGCTTTACAAAGTGGGCACCACTGGTGAGTGTGGATAAAGTTAAGATTGTTTCCATTTCCTTTTTGGAAATATAGATTATATTATTATATTTCAAATGAACATTTTTCTTGCCAATAACACAAGCCTGGTGCTGCTCCACATCAGGGACACACTGGTGTTGGGCTCAGATGCTTTTTGCTGCAAGGGGAATATCACAAGTTCTGTGTTCATGTGGGCAGGGCAACAGTTCAATGCAGCCAAGAAAACATCTAATTACCCTATTTATAGTTAACTTCTGCTGTAGAATCGTTTCACTTTCTAAGAACTAATGTTGACCGATGTGAGCATCAGTAGCTTTAATGGTAGTGAGCTTTGACCTGCATACAGGCCACACAATCTGCTGGGACCATTTCTTGACCTCTTTAGCAAAAACCTGCGTTATGACATAATAGACACATTGAGTTCATATTCCGTTCCTTCTGGTGAACTGGCTTTTGCCATTGTGCAATAGCCTCACCCATTACATATTGGGGTCATAGAAAGAGAGAGTGATGAGGCAAAGTATGTTCTTATCTTTATCTTGATATTTAAATGAGAGTCAGTTGTGAAACTGCAACAAAAATCAGCAGAATCCCTCTCACTGACGCTAGAAATAACAACCTCTGTCAAACAACGTATCACTAAAATTGCTACTACTTGCATTCATATCTTAAAATCACAGTTTCTAGTTAATGCAAATGTTATGAAAACTGTGAGTGCTGCTGAAAAGGCACCTTTTGACATCTTCCTCCCTGTAAACAAAAAACAACCTGCTCGAGCTGTGAAAGAGGGCCATGGCCATTTGTGAGAGCAGCAAGGCACTGACTTCTGTCTGTGGCTTACAGTTGCTGCATGCTGTCACCATTGGAGCTAATAGTGTCCAGGATTCAAAAAGAGTTTAAAACCAGGACACTTGACAGGCTGTGGGTCTGCCTGAATGTTGAATGCATGAATGCTAATCGAGTTCCCCATCTGCAGCATGTGTGACGTGGGTGTGAGGTACGCAGCAGCCAGTAAGGTGACGTCAATCAGTAGGAACAATGTGCTAGTTTGTAGGAGGAGAGAAGGCTTCAACAGGATGTGCTTAAAAGGCTTCACACGCTTTTTTGCAACTTCCTTTTTGAAGCATTACATGTCTGTGTAGGAAGTGACATCACCTCTATCTGAACCAGCATTCAGATTCAGTACACCGAAACAAAGGGGCTAACATAGAAGCCACAAATCATGGAGTCTTCCTCATGTGAGGATATTCTTTAGGCTTGCTTTCCTATATGCTGTTGTTATTAATATATATCTATTCATCCAATTATTTATACTTCTCATCCCCAGCGGGGTCTTGGGGGGTTTGAGCTTATAAACAGGTGCCTAATACCAAAATACCACAATTTATATTTATTCATGAGAAACACTTTTTTAAAAATTCTAAATGTCTCACCTTTTATTACAAGTCAAACTAGGTTTAACATATTTTGATGAAGACACACACCTTAGAGGAGATTTAGATAATTATCTGCGAAGGTTTCTCTTTGTTTTGGTTTTTCTGCTCAACTGAGCAAACTGTGTTGTCTGGCACATAGTCGGCTGATTACTGCCCCCTTGTGTCACTACACAGAACAACAGAGGCTGGGAAAACAAAGCAATTTGATGTTTATCTAAATTTGATGTATAGTTATATAAAATATGTCTGTGGTAGGAAAAATTATTCCATAATATTATTCTATAATACAAATAGGTCCATTATGACACGTAATAAATGATAGAAGGGTCTAATAATAATCTAAATTTCACTGGAGCTACTGTATCTACTCATACACAATGAAAACCTTTGTATTTGTCTCCTCAGTCTACCTGCTCCTGGGTCTGATAGTTATGCTGGTGGTGCTGGAGACCTTCTACGAGCTGCAGCAACTGAAGCAGCTGAGGAAAATGTTCTACCTGAAGAAGGAAAAGCCGCAGGACAACATCAACATTTTGGAGCACGATCACCTGTCCTTCGCCAGCGTGTCTGACAATACGGACATTACCCCCACCCACACTGAAGACAAAACCCAGACATTTGTTAGTGTCCCAGTATTGGCGTCGCTCAACGACGATCCTATGATCCAGTAAATACAGTTAGAGTCACCACCTATTAATGTAAAAGTATGGGGTAAGACATGCAATGCTAGATGTAGATAAAGTGAGTTCATCACCATCTCAGCTGTAGTTATTTTAGCCCAGAAACACTGAAGTGTTTAAGACTACTCATCAAGTAAACAGTATCCTTAAGTGACCAGCTATACAGACAATAGTGTGTTGGCCAGCAGAGACTGAAAATCTGTAAATTAATAGGGGTTAATTTATATTTAACAGCAGTTATAAATACAAAATGATAAAGAATAAATCCTCTGCTGTATTTATGACTGAGAAGCAAAGCACCTTTAAAAGCTGCATTATTTATTTCACATTTAGGAATATTTTATGAAGTCATTTGTCTTTTCAACCTAGAGAAAATACAAGACTATTCTCTATCAAAAAATAGGGCATAAATAGGGCATAAATATGGACATATGTTCTTAATAGAAATATAGGAAATATACTTGGAGTGAATATAATCCTATCATTGTTTTAAACATAGTGTCCATTAGCTGTTTGAACTGACACCCCTGGTAAAGAGGAACCAAAGTGTAACCAAGACAAATATCAGAGTACTGAACAAGCGTTGGTGTTAATGGTGATGTGTTAGAACAGCTATTTGATATCACCATTATTACGTATTTTTCCTCTTCGTCTGGAAGCGATAGAGAGCAGCACAATTGAAGGTGGATAGAGAGCTATGCAGCAAAGGGACCTGGGTGGAATTAAATTTGGGCTGCTGCATCAAGGACTCAGGCAATGACAAAGTCAGGGAGATGCAAAGAGGAGTCACGTGACATCTCTGTTTGGCAGATGCTTTTTTTATTGCAAATGGTACACGGTAATGACTTTTTTACTGGCCCACTTCAACAGTGCTTCATTTTGTTCAGTACTCAGTTGTCACCTATAGATTTTTTCTTAGGAATAACTAAGGCTGTTTTATGGTCCGTGCCTCTTTGGGCTGATCTGGGTTTCACAATCCATTAATAGACAAGATCCGGTTTACAAAGACACGGTCTGTCTGCTCGTTAATAAAAGGAAAAAAGAGGCTTAAAATCACAAAGTTTGTTAAAGAAGCAGCTGCACGTAACAGTATAGATTTTACAGTCAACTATTTGTAGCATTTTAGGGTTCTCTTTAAAGGGGGTGTGGGAACTACTGGAGACTGACATGTTGAACTTTACTGATATCAAAAGAGCTTTGTTACCACATGGATGGCTCCTAAATGACAGCCAGGAAGTACGCAGATACATATCAGTAGGAATATCTCAAGGAGGAAATGATAATTTAATCTGGAGAAATACTTGAGATCATTTTAGCTGCAAAGGCTTTTGTTATGTTTTACCTGCAGAATGCTGGGAATTGCTGGGAGCTTTCAAAAAGAGGAAACTGTTTTTGCAGAATTGAATGTTATAGTGTATATTTTTAAATATGAAATGAGGAAAGTTTACAAAATTTCATGGAATGAAAGTAAAATTACTTGAAATGGTACCTTATAGAACTTGAAATGATAAATTCAAACACCAGTGCTGCTCAAACAGCTCTAATTATTCACTCTAACTGCTTTAAAGAAAGAAATTCTTTAATGGTTTGATATCCATGTACACATTCAAGAAAAACATACACTCCTTTGTAATATGGATGGTATATCTATAACCTTCTACAACCACACAGTGTTACATAATTTAACTTATATGATGGTATATATGACACATAAAACCTCAGAGCTTTCAAATCTGACCTGATGCGATGTACAAAACCCTTTAAGGTTTTAATTGTTATCCAGTTTTTTATTCAGTTTCATTCTTTTTTATGTGTCAGACAGAATTGGCCCACATAGGTAATGACAAAGCATTGCTTCAGTCCTGTTATTCATGTTTAAAGCTGCATTTCTCCCCTGTGGCATCAGGATGTTGTCTGGTAAACTTCTTTCTTTGTTTCCAGTTAAAACAGATGAACAGAGGCAGCAAGCGGGCTTGTGATAACATTTCAGCCGAACAATGTATAAATGTTGTTAATACTTGTTTCAGGTTTCAGTTGGTTTAGCCTTAACTAATGTGTTAATCAACATCATTATACTTCGGATATTAAAACGTGTCTTTAAAAAGGGTTAGAAATGTAAATTACTTTTCTTGAGCTCCATTGTATTTCATTTGTGGAGCAGCAGTAGATTCTTTTACCATTTTTTGAACCAATGTTGGCCTTCATGTATAACTGTGAAACATTCATTTTTTTCATATTCTTGCTGAAAAAAAGGACATTTCTTTATAGTCTTTTACTATAAAATGTTTCACCATTTTGTACATATTCTCAATAGATGGATGTCGAGCTAAGCTTTGATCTTGCATCATTCATGTAGTTGGTTTTGAAAGTGAAAGCTTACAGATGTTCTTAGTTCTTGTAAATTCAGGGAGTAAATGTTGTGTAAGGGTAAGAAACATCGTAGTATTGTTTATTCATACTGAGAAAAATGTTTTTTTTTAATCTATTTATTGTATTTTTCAGTTGATGTGGTGGATATTATAGATTAATTTGTATAGTCTAGTAGTTCTTTGTTACAATAACAGTATTGTAATACATGAATGTCACTGGCTAGTAATGCTTTACCTGGAAAGGGTTTCAGCATAAAACAATACAACATATTAAGAATAATATGTCTGAAATAAAGAGTCGATTAATCCAATCAGACTTTTGTGTTTATTTTCTCTCTTGTTCTACTACTAAATTATGCTGCATGGAAAAGAGACACTGACTTATCTCATGGGAAATCAGTGTCACCTCAGAAACACATGTTATTGTGTAACATGAAATTACCATGAAAGCAAATCTCCAGTGTAAAAAGAGAACAAAAAAATCAAGTTTTTGTGCAGGAGCCCTCTTGGATGTTCGGGAAATAAGAGCAGAACATAATAAAGGAAGTACTAGTGCAGGCTTTGTTGGTCATGCTTTCATCTCATCTTTGGATTTAATATCATGGCAGGGGTTCAGCAAGGCGTTGTTTGTCTCTGACAGCAGTGACTGTTAGAGGGCTAAGATATCCATCCCAGGTGATCTACTGGAAGAGAGCTACTTCATAAGAAAAAGACAAGAAAAGAAATACGACAGCATTCTGCAAAAAAATGATTTTTTAAATACAAAATCTAAGAAGGAAACAACACATTTGATTTATTGATGGCTCCGTGCTTCTCACTGATCTGATCATTTATCCCCCTGCTTCAGAGTACTTTGTGTTTTCTTGCTACAGAGGGAGACGTGTAACCAGGTTAATCTAATCTAATTGTGGAAAGCTTTTTGTTTCATTCAGCAGCTCTTATTGAAAATTGTTGTAATTGGCTAAGTCATGCAGGCACTTCTCCCTGAAGAACCATCGAGCTGGCATCGAGGGTCGAAAGTTTATAGTGGAAGGCAGCTGAAACGCTTACTAGCAGCAAGCGTTTATTGGATTCATGTTATGAGAACAAAACACCACTGGGTCCATATTAATTGCAAATTACTGTCAAAACCATTGTACAGTTTGCTACACTGCAAAATGCACCCATTCAGTTCAGCACCCAAAAAATGACAGCATTTGTTGTTTGTGTGACCAACAAATTACAATGATAAAAGGGTCGCTGTTTCTAGTCCTTCTGAACTGCTGTATTTCCAATTATGTTCTCTGCCTTGGTAGGAGTTAAACTCATTACAGAAACATTGCTAAACAAGTTACATGCACAACATAACTGCCACAACATAACTGCTCGTGCATTTGTATACAAGTATACAAATCCAAATGTGTGTCACAAGTCATCAACTGGCTCTCCATGCAAAAAGTTGTTGGTAGTTTGAAATTGTTCCTTGATTTCACTTTAACTGATGAAACTTGCATTTCTTCACACGCATCCTCATTTTCTGCTAAACCTGCTTTCATTTGCAGTTGGTAGACTGAGGTTGGCACACAACCAAACAGAGCTTCTTAAAAAAGAAAGCAGTCTTTTAAATATGGATGAAGCTTCATGGCTGCTAACATCACAACATCACAATGAGGGTGAGTGTCTTTCTCACCAAGGGTCTCTGTGTTGAAAAAGAGGCTTTCTTTGAGCAGTACAGAGGTCTACACTGAATCCAAAGACCTTCTAAGTTGGCACGTAATCCATGCGATTCAAGCCATTAAATCCTCAATGCTTCACTTCTTGCCTGCTGTGGAAAACACCCACACACAAACACTGTCATACAGAAGAGTTATCAGATGATGCTGCTGAGCAGGCAGTGTGGACTGCAATAGGCCGGAACTGCACTCTTAAGACGCGCCTTTACACAACTGAGAACATCCTTTGTCTTGCTAAATATATGTACGTATGGACAAATCTTGAGATTGGGATATGAAAACATACATAAATTAAGTCCTGTAAACCACACTGAAAGTGAAAAAACGTTAAACCCCAGAGCATGTGTCTGTGTGCATTGCGGACCCCTTTTTGACGCTTGTTATGTGTTGTACAGTTAAAACATACCGTTCCACATGAATGATGCATGGACGTATATTACAAAGCCCAAATGAAATGCACAATGCAGATACAAACTAAGGGGTCCCTTGTGTGACACTTGACATGACATCAGTTAAGATTTGCTGTAAGTCACCATTGTCGTAGTATTCCAAGCACTTCGGCTCATTCAGAACGGGCTGTGAGTTGGGATGGAAAAGAGCTTCAACTGGCATCCACCCTATAGCGCCTCTTTTTGATGGTAGAGCAACTCTATTTATATCTACACACACACACACACACACACACACACACACACACTGGAACTCTGTGTATGCAGGAGGCCTGCAGCACAAACATTCCCCACTGCCTGCTCTGTAACTGCGCTCTGTGTGAAAACAACGTGTGTTCCAGTAGCAAGTGTAAAAGAAATGTTCCTAAAAGAGGTGTCATGTGGTCATGTATGTTGGTCCAGCGTTGAGGTTTGAATAAAATATATGTATGAGTGCAATGATTTGGAGACAGTACGCATTGCCCCAGTTACGTCTGTGTTGAATGTATATGAGGGGTGACAAACTGACAGGGAGAGAGAGGAGAGGGAGGGGCCGCAGCCACAGGCATCCACTCTCTGAAAAGCATTGTATTATCAAGCCCTTCTTCTCCATTGTGTGATGTTTATACAACATCAAAATGTAAATGTAGTATCCATTAAAAAAAAAGAAGCTATTGCTGCATTTACCACAAGACAGATTTAAGATGAATTCACCTAAGAAGAGTGAACAAACTACAGCATGCTTTAACCGTTCTCATCAGTACACACCTTTAGACTAAACCTAAGCATGCTGATATCAGATTTAGAATCCGACTCTTAAATCAAACATCAGCAAGGATGACCATAATGCACAAAGGCAGAGTGCGTGAAAGCAACACAGAAAGTGTAAAATCAGGAAAAAAGGTGAAAATACAAACTCGCTTCATTGTCTTGTAAATAAATCATAATCAGAAACTTTACAATTGCTTGAAAACACACAGAAGGTATTCACAGTCCTCAACTTAGACAAAAGAAATGTCCGAGCATATCAGAAATGATGCAGCCACTCGATCCGAGAGGAAAATGATAACCTCCAGTACTTGTTGAAACAGCATGCCGTCTGCTCACCAAAGGGTGACCAATTATTGCCTAACAAGTATTCAAAACAGACAATAGACGCATTCACTGTTTGATACACAAAATACAGACACGCATTCATTAAAAAAGGAGAAAATGCAGCATATCAATGTACACTATATTGCCAAAAGTATTTGCTCACCCATCCAAATTATCGGAATCAGGTGTTCCAATCACTTCCATGGCCACAGGTGTATAAATTCAAGCACCTAGGCATGCAGACTGTTTTTACAAACATTTGTGAAAGAATGGGTCGCTCTCAGGAGCTCAGTGAATTCCAGCGTGGAACTGTGATAGGATGCCACCTGTGCAACAAATCCAGTCGTGAAATTTCCTCGCTCCTAAATATTCCACAGTCAACTGTCAGCTGTATTATAAGAAAATGGAAGTGTTTGGGAACGACAGCAACTCAGCCACGAAGTGGTAGGCCACGTAAACTGACGGAGCGGGGTCAGCGGATGCTGACGCGCATAGTGCGAAGAGGTCGCCAACTTTCTGCAGAGTCAATCACTACAGACCTCCAAACTTCATGTGGCCTTCAGATTAGCTCAAGAACAGTGCGCAGAGAGCTTCATGGAATGGGTTTCCATGGTCGAGCAGCTGCATCCAAGCCATACATCACCAAGTGCAATGCAAAGCGTCGGATGCGGTGGTGTAAAGCACGCCGCCACTGGACTCTAGAGCAGTGGACACGCATTCTCTGGAGTGACGAATCGCGCTTCTCCATCTGGCAATCTGATGGACGGGTCTGGGTTTGGCGGTTGCCAGGAGAACGGTACTTGTCTGACTGCATTGTGCCAAGTGTAAAGTTTGGTGGAGGGGGGATTATGGTGTGGGGTTGTTTTTCAGGAGCTGGGCTTGGCCCCTTAGTTCCAGTGAAAGGAACTCTGAATGCTTCAGCATACCAAGACATTTTGGACAATTCCATGCTCCCAACTTTGTGGGAACAGTTTGGAGCTGGCCCCTTCCTCTTCCAACATGACTGTGCACCAGTGCACAAAGCAAGGTCCATAAAGACATGGATGACAGAGTCTGGTGTGGATGAACTTGACTGGCCTGCACAGAGTCCTGACCTCAACCCGATAGAACACCTTTGGGATGAATTAGAGCGGAGACTGAGAGCCAGGCCTTCTCGTCCAACATCAGTGTGCGACCTCACAAATGCGCTTCTGGAAGAATGGTCAAAAATTCCCATAAACACACTCCTAAACCTTGTGGACAGCCTTCCCAGAAGAGTTGAAGCTGTTCTAGCTGCAAAGGGTGGACCGACGTCATATTGAACCCTATGGATTAGGAACGGGATGTCACTTAAGCTCATATGTGAGTCAAGGCAGGTGAGCAAATACTTTTGGCAATATAGTGTATCTACAGTATATGCTGGCATTTGTCTTTAATTTACAAAGCAGCAGCATTACAGTAACTAGCTGATTTCAGGAGGTGAATTTGCATTTTACACACTGTGTTGCTCACTCACTGATTACACTCCTTCTAATTAATGGCTAAACAAAGCAAAGTTTATTCACTGTGCCAGTGACAAGCTGAGCTTAAAAAAACCAGACTGTGTAAAGTTTGTGAAACAAACAACTAGACTGCACATCTGAGGCGACATCCCTTAAGTGTGTTTTAATATCTGAGAGGGACCATAAGCCGCCGGTTCCAGGAGAATAACAATGTATTTTTGTCTTATTTTCATTTGTCAGCAGACCTAAAGTGGTACACCTAATAATGGAAATTAGAACAGTTCGTGCAGGCCAGTGAAGAACACAGAAGATGTCAATCTATTTTTTCTTTCTTCACCAAATTGGTTTATCATCTTAACATGAAGCAGGGACTTCCGTCCTTAGAGGGTGTTTGCTGCTACCCAGCTGTGTGCCAGCCTTAACAGTAATGTCATATGAATTACAAATGTACCCTAAAGAGAATACACAACAGGGAACCAAACTCACAAAGGTTATCACTTCTTTGGGGCTGCAATGTCATTTTAACAGAGCTGTTGAAGAGGTTTCCATGTGCCCCCTTTGGACTGTAAAACAATATATTTCAATTTGATGGTCATAAATCAAACCCTGAGTAATGAGAAATATGATGGCTATAAAACGTCTTAGCTCCTAGGTTATGGAGCCAAAACATAAGAGGCCCCTTGATCCACAATTCAAACTTGGTCTCACACCAAAACTAATCACACACACACGTGCACACACACACATATCATTGTCTAGTTTTCAAACCTCAGTTATCATTCTTGGATGGTAAAAGCGCGTAGCAAAATTGCCACCTTAAATAAACAAACCCTAGAATATGACCCTCATCCAGTAATGATTGAGTTTTTTCCTTTACGTGCAGGTGCTTGAATGGAAACCATAAACCTTCAATGTGAAGAACAGTGTTTCATAGTTGTGATGATAGCTTTAGCTGGACGATTATTTACATAGACAGTGCCCCAACAACAACAAGGCATCTTGTGTACTAAAACTGACACTGTACTAAAAAGAAGATTTTGTCAGAAATGGGAGGTGTGATACAGGGGGAGGGCTACAGGACTGTACTATTGACTCCTCTGAGTACCACTAGGACCTGTCTGGGAATGGTAGGTACCTTTAAAAATGTAGCACAAGACACAATAACTTTCAGATAAAGTAGATTAAAGAAATTAAAGAAAAAACATACGAACATAACAGCTAAGAAATTATAAATGTTTGAAGAAGCTGAATTAGATTTTTGTTGAACTTCATAGAATAATAATAATTACATAAATAGATCATAGGTTGACACTTAGATCATATCAGTGCACAGCATAGAAGTCGTTTTCTTCATATACTAGAAACTACATGTTTAAGAGAGTTTGATGATGTGCGGAAGAGATGGTGTGTGTAAGACTATATTAAATGTAAAACCGAGTTTAAATCATAGCTCTGGAGGGCTCTCATATCATTATGTGAACCATTTCACTGGCTCAGAGTTTTACTTCTCATTGAGCATCAGCCAATCAGCAGCAGACTGTCACACTGTTTCCAGGCTGAAAACCACATTAAATATTGATCATGAGAGGAGATGGTCTTCACCACACTTGTCAAAAATAGTATGGAACTGGATATGATGCAATCAGAGAGATAATAAAAATGAATAACTGATGTTTTCAAACATGGAGGTGCGAAGTGAAAACTGAAGTGTACAGGTTTCTGAAGAACGGCAGAAAAGCTAAAGGGAAGCTAATGCCAGAGGATAGTCACTAACTGATCACATACACAAGTCTCCAATCTGCTGTGCACAGAATTCTCAGAAGATGGTGTATTAAATAGAATTAGAAGCCCATAATCCTTTTGGAAATGATTAAGGGTTCCTTTATGAAAGTGTAGTTGTGAGTGCACTGCTTCTTGTTTTTGTGTGTTGGCTCTCACTTCATCTACCAACCAAATTTAGAAAAGAGCGCAGTGCCCTTGAGTTTAAGGGGCATCAATTGGTTCACAATGAAGAGGTCTGCTGAAAATGCGATAGATGACTTATGAGCCCTGAATATATTAGAACTCCTTTAGGGCTGCTGCTATGTATGAGCAATGTCTCCCAAGAACGTGAGACACAGCTCACCCATGAATTCATTTTGGCAGTGAAGAAAGTCCAACAGAGAAGAATCAATTTAGCTTTGGCTGAGCAGTGAATTTGAGCGGTGCATTATGCAAGATGAACTTGATCCTCTCCTCCCCAAACTCTGTCGATGCAAAGTGTTGACTGGCTTATTGATGACCACACACCACTTTTTCTGCGTGAGTAAGCACTGGCCCAAACCCACACACCTTCCCCAACTTCTGTGGACGTGTGAGGTGCGGCTCATCATTGATCCATGCAAAGGCTGTCCCCCCAAAAACAATCAGAGCTCTGCAGGAAAGAGCTCACACAATGCCGGCGCGATGCAGCGAGGGGACCAAAGACCTGGGATCCACGGACCCAACCACACCAGTCATGCAAGGTAGAGTTCTGCTGATCCTGACTGCTTGATGTGTTCGTATCTTGTTTGGTTTTTCCTTGAAAAGAAGTAGACTACCAGAGAAAATGTGAACATCGTCAATTTGACAGTTGGTTACAGAATGAGGATGAAATACATGTCATGTTCTGGCTGGTGAATGAGGATGTTTGACTCAGGTCAAACAACATAACTCACCATTCTGTTATTGCACATTTCACATTTCTAAACAGAAACAAAGACAACTGCTTGATTCCTAAATACAATCTCCACCAGTGAACATAATTACTGTGTTACTGGGAGCTCTGATTGGATGCAATCAGCCATATCTCTGTAATTGACTTCAACTCTGTTTTACTCAATCCACATGTTTCTGCTGCCCTTTTGTTTCTCTCAGTGTTCACATTGATCTGAAAAACATGCAGGCTTCTGAAATGTTGCTGTACTCTTCTGGTGAGAGCCTATGAATGATTTAATAAAGGCAACTCTGAGGCTTGAAAAGTTGCCTTACAACTGTCCTGATATGGCGCATCGTTGTGCTGAGAAATGTTTTCTAACAGTCTGTGCACCCTGAATAATTGAATAAAAATTCCCCGCAAGGTAAACAATATCACCATCATATACAAACTGAAATCCCAATAAAACAGCCACAAATGTTCAGAAAATAAAAGTATTGTTTCAGGAAGATATCAAGAATGTTCCTCAGTTTCAATGTTATTTCTTTTAAAAAAAGGCAACTAGATGACTTTGCATCTGTATCACTGTCCTTTGGGCTAAAACCAATTTATGCCCCTAACAGACAAATCAGTCTGTACACCACCGGATCAAAATTGAAACACTTTTACTGAAGGTTGTGTGTAGAAGTACTCAGGTGTGAATACTATACGTAAAAAATACAAATAATAATCTATTCAACTGATTAAGTGACAAACCGCGTTAAAAGAATCACTCCCATCGGTACAATTTACACTCTGCTGTTCAAAGAAATTCGCTCGAACGTGTCCACTAGATGGCGCTGCTGCCATGGCACCAGGACGCAGCTTCATCCCGAGCAGAGCGCACCCTGCCAATGCTGAAACAGCCTGTAGTGGCCAGGCAGATGTTTGCAGAGATGAGAAGAAGCAGGACCATGGCGCTTGTTGTTGTTCCCGTTAGCCTTTCCGGGGCTTTGGATTCTCAGTAGGAGCGCTGCAGAGTGACCACCAGGATGTTCGGTGACAGAGAGGCCACTGTGTGGGACCGGGTCGGACGGCCCCACCGAGACTGCATGTGCTACCTTGGACCTCCTACCACTTTAATACCAATGTAAGACATTACAACTTTAAAGAGATGTATTGGCAATTTCCAGGAGGTAGGAAAACCTGTTGCGCGCTTGATTTGACAGGCTCACTGATAAATGTAAACGAACTAGAATGGGTACAGGTGTTCAAATTCTCCGCTCAGCCACAGAACTACAGTAATATTTGTGAATTTGGGTGATGCTACGCGTTCAGTAATGGTTGTTGTTATCTAAAAGTGATTGGAGGACGTAGATCACACATAATGGGGCTTTTGCAGGCTATGGCAGCACTTTGGGTCATTTTTCTCTACTGCTTTTCCCTGAGTGGGTCAGTAAATGATGTTTTGCTCTCACCTGTGTGTATAACAGCTGATGGGCTGACGGTAGTTGCGTTTGTATTCATTTTACCTGCTGGACACAAACAACCTAGTTGGCTGCTCTCTCCTCAGCACGACACGGACACGTTTGATGGGCTCTCGTGTTGTACACTGGGCGCGCAATTTTGTGGTTCACTGGCTGCTTGACGCCAGGAGCTGTCACTAGTGTTGCTTCTCTGTCTCTACAGAGCACTCACGATCGATTCATTAGTTGCAGATTCAGATAAGCCAATAATGGGAGTTGCACGGTGTACAGTAGCTACACACAACAATAGCAGGAGTAGTCACTTTGGCTTAGTGTCTCTCGCGCAGTGGCGGCGTGGACGCAGGGCCACTGAAGGATGATGATTTCTCTGCCGCGCAAGAGAGGCGCTGCAGGGGCCCTTAACGTCCATATCCGTGGAACACGCAACACTTACTCTCTAGTTTAGCCGTGAAAAAAACCCCATATATCAAGTCCTAGACGAGGGTTACTGACTTGCTTTCCTTTAACCGAACGCCTTCACTCGCTCCTGTAACACACCACACTCATTGTTCTCTGTTCCCAGCGGGATGCGCAAGTCGCCCGACGTGAGCCCCAGAAGGCTTTCGGACATCAGCCCGCAGCTCAGACAGCTCAAGTACCTGGTCGTGGACGAAGCCATCAAGGAGGACCTCAAGTCCTCCCGGTCGGTCGAGGACATCAACAGCGCGTCCATAGAGGAGCGAATATTGCGCATCACGGGCTACTATGGATACCAACCATGGAGTACAAGCTACAAAAGTGAGTCAGTGTGTACTCATGGATCAGTAAACTGCTGAGATCCATTAATCAGATTCAGGCAATGAGAGGATGGAGGTAGCATGAGCGTAAACTGCAGTGTACTGCTCACAGATTGGAGCTGTGATGTTTTCAGAGCATCAGGTGCTGCATAAATTGTGTTAAATTACTCGGTTGCAGGTTGGAAGAGTGGAATAAATAACTGACAGAGTGAAAAACTATCAACCTGTATGACAGAAATACATTAAAATATTAATCTGAGTCACTGTGTCATTTCCCCAGTTGACAATAAGCCCATTTGAACACTGTGGATCATCAGATGTGATCCTTTGATATGACTTTGGTGATGAAGAGCAATGCAAGAGCTGCAGCTCCTCATGCAATAGCCCAAGTGTTCTTCACAGGGAAATCTTTTCTCACCCTAATGCCCAAAATAATGACATGCACGCAGTGCCAGTCAGTACCTCCTTGTTATTATTCTCCCGTGTACATTTGCACTTTTCTCCCCTTTGTTGTTCATCAAGCCCGAGTGTTGCTGGCCAAGTTGGAGGGGATGTTTGTTCAGTGGTGCTTGTGGAGCTTTGAGCCAGAAACTGAGAGTCTTTCTTGAAGCAGTCGATTATCAGAGGGGGAAAAAGCTGTTAAGGCAGCTTTTACTGTCTTTCTCTACACTTGAGTAGATTTACATTCTTTATGAGCAGAGCGTTAAGTCCCCGAGCTGTAGCCACGCTGCCACTGCTGTCTGGTTGATATGATGGAGAACAGTCTGGCTTCACCTCTGCTTTGACTTCATGTTAGAGTGCTATTATAATGGTCGTGTCGTGACAAAACCAGGATAAACCTGTGCAAGGTTTATTTGTTTGTTTTAGTTGCTCTGATGACTTCAAACTTTTAATGTTGGCACATTTACAGCATTTCATTTGAGCCTAAAGCATCTAACAGCTGCAAAGCATAGTCACCTACCTATTCATAAGTGGATACGGTAACAAGCTGCTGTTGAACTGAACAGCGTCCGTTTATCTCTATCCTGTATTTGTCTATGGTGTCATGTGATGCGATGTGATGAGAGAAGGTCATTTTTAGGGTCATCTGACTGCCAAACCATTTGTAATAACATGTACTAACACTAGCTTAAAGTGATCCATTACATTGTTTATGGAAAACAGCACATTTAACGAAATATTAAACAAAGTTCCAAAAATGTAATTAAGATTATAGAGTATTTTACTCAGTAAGAAACTAAAACAAGAGTCCATAACCAGTGACAACTTAAAGCTACTTGTTGAAAAGAGAGATACGCCTTTACATGGACATGGACCTTCCTGTTATGTAATGCTATCTTGAATTGTAATATATGTTTGAGCTTTTCAGCCAATCCTGTTAATTGGTAGTCTTCTGTGAACTACTGAATGTTGCAACCATTCAAAAGTGATGTTCAGCCACATTCCCAAAAATTTAGCATTATAATTAACCAATGATAACAAACTGACAATGGTGTTTTTTTAAAAGGCGAATCAATTTGGCCCTTATAAACTAAATGTCAAAGTTTATCATCATGATTAGAAAACACAACCACATAGACACCCACTTCAAATGTGTCTCCGTATGTCCTGTAATAACTTTAAAGAATGACCCTATTCTCAACATATTAGCAAGCTTTGTTAATTTAGAGTGGTTGTGTTTTCATCTACTTAAATGTAGATGAAATGCATGCGTTGCCCAAAGTACACACATATTTTACCTTACCTGAGAAAAGCTGTGGGATTTATGTTTTATGAAAGATCCATATTTATAGTCAGAAAAAAAATAAACAGAGAAAATATTGCCACTATTTGTTGTAAAAGTATTGTCAGTCCCTGAAAAAGCTCTTGGTACAGACAGACATACTGCGCATGAACTATTTCATTAGTGGTCATGATGCTACATCATGCTGTTTTTCACTGTATGGCCATCAGGAAAAATGTCCATATGTTTAACATTTCCACGGTCTCTCCCATGTTTCCAGCTAAGCTAATGCAAATCAGTTTATGTTTTGGTCTATACCACAGTCCTTTTGGTCCATCCAGCTTGAGCGAAGTTTTGTGGTGACAGAAGTTGCACATGTTGCAAGCAGTTGCATGTGAAGAGAATCCGAGCTTCCCTTTCACACAGACACACACACACACACATACACACGTCAACTCACAGGATTTAATGACAAACAGACAGCAATGGGTTTTGGCTTTGTGGAGAGCTTAATGCTAAGGCTAGCCAATTTCAAAAGAGGCCGAAGGCGGAGTGCTTCTCAGTGGAGTGCAAAGAGATGCCTGTTTGTTTCATTTGCCACCAACCTCTCCTAATTGGCACTTGTACTCTTTCACACAGGAGCAAACAGAGTGGAAGCAGGATCTAGTAGTCAGCAATGACTCAGAAGGGGATGAAAGGAGCTAGCTTTTTCTTTTGATGTAATGTGTCATCGCAACATTCTGAAAAGGAGACTTTGGAGATCACAAAGATGCAGAGCATGACTAGGTGTAAAACAGCAAAAAAAGGTCCTTTTTCAGTGTGCTGATGCATGAGTAATGCATCTTAAAACCCAGGACATCGGAGGGGCATTTTGATTTCACGTTGTAGGTACCAGTGATTGATCTTGCAGATTTGTTCATTTTTTCCCAGAGTGACACTGCTCTGCCTTCAGAGTTGCCAGGAACTCAGCTATGGTTCCATCAAGCTTACATACAGCTTATATACAACATCTCTCTAACATAATTCGATTAATCATGAGCAAGTCATCACACACACACACCCTGACTGGGAGACTAAACACCTTTGATCCACTTTGAACATGGCCAAAGATGGAGGGATCGATGTCTGTCAAAGAAAAGGTCACTGCTGCCAAAAGGTTACCAGAGAGAATATAGCGAGGAAAACCATTTCAAGACAGCTCATTTCAATCTCATCGAAACACATCCACCAGTGTGTCTGTCTGCAAAGATGAGCCCTTCATACGTGTCATTACAGAGGCAGCTGACTGAAAACTTGGAGCAAGGAATGAAACCATTACTTTCCAGCTTTGGCATAAAGTGGCAGAGCCATTAGGTTACAGTGTTGCAGAAACTCTGACATATCTTTTCATTTTTGTGAACTCCCTGAAGCTTATTACTTCTGCTGTTCGAGCAAAATGTCATTTCACAAAGCCCAGTGGCATTGAGATTAACAAAACAGAAATGAATACCTTCCGCTTGGGCTGATCTGATTTATAAGCGATGACAAATAAGGCCTAAATTTGCTGCTCTAGGTTATACATAAAAAAACAAAAAAACATGAAAACGCGTCTTACAAATTCCTACAAACCTATGGACTCACAACCCTAGTGTCTCTGGCTCTTTGCTACATTTAGATTAGTAGTTAGTAACCAGATTGATTTGGTTTCTCACCTTGTGTGCCATATCCTGCTTTATTTCCTTTATTTCATTCCCTTCTCGGGATGATGCTTTAATTTGGTCACTGGTGTTTGATGAATCCGTGAGTCTCTTTGCATTTATGACCATGCCATCCACCTTTAGGCCGTTTGCTTGTCTATGTTATCTGTTTTCATTTCTTCTTCAGTTGCTATTTTGACTTTGATTTTATTTCTCTTTGTGTACTATATTCCCAGAATGTTATACTCCTACAGTTTTTTTTCATTTTTATAGACACAACCTATCTTTTAGTAATTTCTCTGCCAGTTAAATTAAAGTAGCCGTTCCAAAGGTAACTCTTCCATTCCCTATGTTATGTGTAGTTTGGTTATAGAACAGTACTTTTAGAGGATATTTAGCTTCCAGCTGTTTTTATGTTTCTGATCCGTTGGTGAAAGCAAGGTTTGGTCCTTTGTCTCAGACAGGCTTTCATGGCATGAGTGGTGTACAAGAACAAATAGAAACTGAAAAGCTTGTTTTACTTCATCTTCGCAGGTAGAAATACTCTTCTCCTTGATTCAGCTACACCTTTGTCTGCATGCCCCTTTAGTTTTGTCAGCTTCCTCAGAGATATGAGCCATTTATCAGACAAAGAGCCTGTTCTTTTTCCTAAATCTCTTGCACAATCTATCACAAATGTAGCATCCCCTCTGGTGCAAATTTAGAGCTTCGCGATGCATGTAATGAGGTTTGGTTCTATTTTAAGATGAGGGGTTGGACATGAGGAGACAAAAAAGCACAGCAGGTTTGAGTCTATGTACCCATGTACAGTTGAAAGGGGCCACCGGGGTATGGCTTTGTTTTAGTCTCAACTGGAGGTGAGGATAAAATATGGGGATGGTTTTGAAAAATGAACACAAAGTGATCATGTTCAGGGAAAGAGAATTGTGGAAGGTTTTGTAGTTTTTCACCTGACAAGAATAAAAGGTTTTCTTAAATGGAAAAGCAGTTCTTCAGTCCCTGTAAATGCTTTGTCACTTTGGGAGATGGGGATTTTCAAGACACATTAATTAGCACTTTTTGTGGTGCAGTGAGTTGCATTGTCCTGCTGGGGAGGGGAGGGGGGGGGGGCATTGCTTCCAGCGTGTTTTGATGGGGTTTAGATTGGTTTAATGTTTTGGATGATTGGTGTAACGCCTCGTCATTATACCTATTTAAGAGGTGAATAATGAGACAGCGGCAGAAAAATGTTTAGTTGTCGCATCCAGATAGGAACAAAATATCAGCAATTCCCTGATCTCAAACGGTTTTCTCAATCCATTTGTGCTCCGTGCCAAGTAGAACAATCAAAAGTGTGTTTCAGACTAGAAGTGAAACCTCTCCTAACTTGATCAACTTCCTCCACATCTGTAGCTGTTATCCAAGCAAAGCGTGCGCAAGTCCCCTTAATGTTCAGTCAAGGGGCAAAATCATTTATGTGTGCCGCTATTAAACTCACATTCTCTGCATGCTCACTTGTTCATTCACTAAGAGAAGGGCATGATCAGAGGAACTATGACAGAGGTGACATCACCTTTAGGTAAAGAGCTCTTTACCCAGAAGGTTCATAAATTCTTTTTCTTC